AACAAAAGTAGTGGAGGTAATGGAATTCCAGTTGAGCTTTTTCAAATCCTGAAAGATGATGCTGTGAAAGTGCTGCACTCAATATGCCAGCAAATATGGAAAACTCAGCAGTGGCCACAGGACTGGAAAAGGTCAACTTTCATTCCAGTCCCAAAGAATGCACAAACTACTGCACAATTGCACTCATCTCACATGCCAGTAAAGTAATGCTTAAAATTCTCCAAGCCAGACTTCAGCAATATGTGAACCATGAACTTCCAGATGTTCAAGCTGGTTTTAGAAAAGGCAGAGAAACCAGAGATCAAATTGCCAACATCCACTGGATCATCAAAAAAGCAAGAGAGTTCCAGAAAAACATCTACTTCTGCTTTATTGACTATGCCAAAGCCTTTGACTGTGTGGATCACAATAAACTGTGGAAAATTCTGAAAGAGATGGGCATACCAGACCACCTGACCTGCCTCTTGAGAAACCCATATGCAGGTCAGGAAGCAACAGTTAGAATTGGACATTGAACAACAGACTAGTTCCAAATCGGAAAAGGAGTACATCAAGGCTGTATACTGTCACCCTGCTTATTTAACTTATATGCAGAGTACATCATGAGAAATGCTGGGCTGGAGGAAGCACAAGCTGAAATCAAGATTGCTGGGAGAAATATCAATAACCTCAGATATGCAGATGACACCACCCCTTATGGCAGAAAGTGAGGAAGAACTAAAGAGCCTATTGATGAAAGTGAAAGAGGAGAGTGAAAAAAGTTGGCTTAAAGCTCAACATACAGAAAACTAAGATCATGGCATCCGGTCCCATCACTTCATGACAGATAGATGAGGAAATAGTGGAAACAATGGCTGACTTTATTTTTCTGGGCTCCAAAATCACTGCAGATGGTGATTGCAGCCATGAAATTAAAAGACACTTACTCCTTGGAAGGAAAGTTATGACCAACCTAGATAGCATATTAAAAAGTAGAAACATTACTTTGGCAACAAAGGTCCGTCTAGTCAAGGCTATGGTTTTTCCAGTGGTCACATATGGATGTGAGAGTTGGACTATAAAGAAAGCTGAGCGCCAAAGAATTGATGCTTTTGAACTGTGGTGTTGGAGAAGACTCTTGAGAGTCCCTTGGACTACAAGGAGATCGAACCAGTCCCTCCTAAAGGAGATCAATCCTGGGTGTTCATTGGAAGGACTGATGTTGAAGCTGAAACCAGTACTTTGGCCACCTGATGCAAAGAGCTGACTCATTGGAAAAGACCCTGATACTGGGAAAGATTGAGGCTGGAGGAGAAGGGGACAGCAGAGGATGAGATGGTTGGATGGCATCATTGACTCGATGGGTTCGCGTGGACTCTAGTAGGAGTTGGTGATGGTCAGGGAGGCCTAGAGTGCTGCGATTCATGGGGTCGCAGAGAGTCAGACATGACTGAGCAACTGAACTGAACTGAACTGTACTTGTCTGATTTTGATATTAGGGTGATGGTGGCCTCATAGAATGAGTTTGGAAGTTTACCGTCCTCTGCAATTTTCTGCAAGAGTGTGAGTAGGATGGGTGTTAGCTCTTCTCTAAACTTTTGGTAGAATTCAGCTGTGAAGCCATCAGGTCCTGGGCTTTTATTCGTTGGAAGATTTCTGATTACAGTTTCAATTTCTGTGCTTGTGATGGGTCCGTTAAGATTTTCTATTTCTTCCTGGTTCAGTTTTGGAAAGTTACACTTTTCTAAGAATTTGTCCATTTCTTCCAAGTTGTCCATTTTATTGGCATATCGTTACTGCTGGTAGTCTCTTATGATCCGTTGTATTTCTGTGTTGTTTGTTGTGATTTCTCCAATTTCATTTCTAATTTTGTTGATTTGATTCTTCTCCCTTTTTTTCTTGATGAGTCTGGCTAATGGTTTGTCTATTTTATTTATCTACTCAAAGAACCAGCTTTTAGCTTTGTTGATTTTGGCTATGGTCTCCTTTGTTTCTTTTGCATTTATTTCTGTCCTAATTTTTATGATTTCTTTCCTTCTACTGACCCTGGGGTGCTTCCTTTCTTCTTTTTCTAGTTGCTTTAGGTGTAGAGTTAGGTTATTTATTTGATTTGTCTCCTGTTTCTTGAGGTAGGCTTGTATTGCTATGAGCCTTCCCCTTAGCACTGCTTTTACTGAATCCCATAGGTTTGGGGTTGTTGTATTTTCATTTTCATTTGTTTCTATGCATATTTTTATTTCTTTTTTTATTTCTTCTGTGATTTGTTGGTTATTCAGAAGTGTGTTGTTTAGCCTCCATATGTTTGTATTTTAATAGTTTTTTCCCTGTAGTTGACATCTAATCTTACCACATTGTGATCAGAAAAGATGCTTGAGATGATTTCAATTTTTTTGAATTTACCAAAGCTAGATTTATGGCCCAGGATGTGATCTATCCTGGAGAAGGTTCCATGTACACTTGAGAAAAAGGTGAAATTCATTGTTTTAGGGTGAAATGTCCTATAGATATCTATTAGGTCTAACTGGTTCATTGTATCATTTTTTAGTTTGTGTTTTCTTGCTAATTTTCTGTTTAGTTGATCTATTGATAGGTGTGAGTGGGGTATAAAGTCTTCCACTATTATTGTGTTACTGTTAATTTCCCCTTTCATACTTGTTAGCATTTGCCTTACATATTGTGGTGCTCCTATATTGGGTGCATATATATTTATAATTGTTATATCTTCTTCTTGGATTGATCCTTTGATCATTATGTAGTGTCCTTCTTTGTCTCTTTTCACGGTCTTTATTTCAAAGTTATCTTATCTGATATGAGTATTGCTACTCCTGCTTTCTTTTGGTCTCCATTTGTGTAAAATATCTTTTTCCAGCCCTTCACTTTCAATGTATGTGTGTCCCTTGTTTTGAGGTGGGTCTCTTGTAGGTAGCATATATAGGGGTCTTGTTTTTGTATCCATTCAGCCAGTCCTTGTCTTTTGGTTGGGGCATTCAACCCATTTACATTTAAGGTAATTATTGATAAATATTATCCCGTTGCCATTTGCTTTGTTGTTTTGGGTTCGAGTTTATAAACCTTTCCTGGGTTTCCTATCTAGAGAAGATCCTTTAGCATTTGTTGACGAGCTGGTTTGGTGGTGCTGAATTCCCTGAGCTTTTGCTTGTCTGTAAAGCTTTTTATTTCTCCTTCTTATTTAAATGAGATCCTTGCTGGGTACAGTAATCTGGGTTGTAGGTTTCCCTTTCATCACTGTAAGTATGTCCTGCCATTCCCTTCTGGCTTGAAGGGTGTCTTTTAAAAGATCAGCTGTTATCCTTATGGGGATCCCCTTGTGAGTTATTTGTTGTTCTGCCCTTGCTGCTTTTAATATTTGTTCTTTGTGTTTGATCTTCATTAATTTGATTAATATGTGTCTTGGGGTGTTTCACTTTGGGTTTATCCTGTTTGGGACTCTCTGGGTTTTTTGGACTTGGGTGGCTATTTCCTTCCCCATTTTAGGGAAGTTTTCAACTATTATCTCCTCAAGTATTTTCTCATGGACTTTCTTTTTATCTTCTTCTTGGGACTCTTATGATTCGAATGTTGGGGCGTTTAACATTGTCCCAGAGGTCTCTGTGGTTGTCCTCATTTCTTTTAATTCTTTTTTCCTCTCCGCTTCATTTATTTCCACCATTCTATCTTCCACCTCACTTATCCTATCTTCTACCTCAGTTATTCTACTGTTGGTTCCCTCCAGAGTGCTTTTGATCTCAGTTATTGCATTATTCATTATTGATTGACTCTTTTTTATTTCTTCTAGGTCCTTGTTAAACTTTTCTTGCATCTTCTCAATCCTTGTCTCTAGACTATTTATCTGTAACTCCATTTTGTTTTCAAGATTTTGGGTCATTTTTACTATCATCATTCTGAATTATTTTTCAGGTAGACTCCCTATCTCCTCCTGTTTTGTTTGGTTTGGTGGGCTTTTGTCATGTTCCTTTACCTGCTGAATATTTCTCTGCCTTTTCATCTTGTTTAGGTTGCTGTGTTTGGGGTGGCCTTTCTGTATGCTGGAAGTTTGTGGTTCCTCTGTATTATGGAGGCTCCTCCCTGTGGGTGGGGTTGGACGAGTGGCTTGTCAAGGTTTCCTGGTTAGGGAAGCTTGCCTTGGTGTTCTGGTGGGTGGAGCTGGATCTCTTCTCTCTGGAGTGCAGTGAAGTGTCCAGTAGTGAGTTTTGAGGTGTCTGTGGGTTTGGTGTGACTTTGGGCTGGCTGTATTTTTGTGCTCAGGGTTATGTTCCTGTGTTGTTGGAGAATTAGCTTGGTATGTCTTGCTCTGAAACTTGTTGGCTCTTGGGTGGAGCTTGGTTTCAATATAGGTATGGAGGCTTTTGGATGAGCTCTTGTCAATTAATGTTCCCTGGAGTCAGTTTTCTGGTGTTCTCAAGTTTTGGAGTTAAGCCTCCTGCCTGTGGCTTTCAGTCTTATTCTTACAGTAGCCTCAAGACTTCTCTATCCATACAGTACCGATGATTAAACATCTAGGTTAATGGTGAAAAGATTTTCCACGGTGAGAGACACCCAGAGAGGTTCACAGAGTTATGTGGAGAAGAGAAGAGGGAGGAGAGAGATAGAGGTGACCAGGAGGAGAAGAGGGGGAATCAAAAGGAGAGAGAGCAATCTAGCCAGTAATCAATTCTCTATTTGCTCTCCACTGCATGTATCTTTTGAATTATGGTTTTCTCAGGGTATATGCCCAGGAGTGGGATTCTTGGGTCATATGGTAGTTCTATTTTTAGTTTTTTTAAGGAACCTCCCTACTGTTCTCCATAGTGTTTGCACCAATTTACATGCCCACCAACAATGTAGGAGGGTTCCCTTTTCTCCACACCCTCTCCTGCATTTATTGTCAAACATTTTGAACTCATACTCATGACCTAGAAGGATCTGTAATGTTAAATCCACGTGGATTGTTCTCTAACTCAGTCTCTATCACTGTCTCTATCTCTGTTAAAACTGCTTCCCTGTGGATTTCTCCATTCCAGGTGACCAGCTCTCCTGTGTGCATGGACATGAGTGGGATGTCGGTGCCCACAGAATTCTTATCTCGGCATAACTCTGATGGGATCATCACGTTTGTGGACCCAAGATGCATCAGCGTGATTGGCTACCAGCCTCAGGTAGGTGGTTTTGAGCTCATGGAGTCGGCTGGAGATTTAGTTTTATTTAAAATGCACCTGGGCTTCCCTAGTGGCTCAGATGGTAAAGAATCTGCCTGCAATGCAGGACCCCTGGGTTCAATCCCTGGGTTAGGAAGATCCCTTGGAGAAGGGTGTGGCAACCCAATCTAGTATTCTTGCCTGGAGAATCCCATGCAGAGGAGCCTGGCAGGCTACACACCATGGGGTCACAAAGAGTCAGACACAACTGATCGATTAACACCTTCACTTTCAAGATGCACCTACCTCATTTGTTCAAGATATAATACAGTGGCGATACAGGGAAACACAGCATAAAAATCCATCTCCTTGCCTGGGTAATGGCCTTCCAAAGCAAAAAAGGTTATTGTATGCAACTGCACTGCTTAAAATTAACTCTCTATTTTTTGCACTAACCATTTTGTTTAATCTAGCTCTAGATTTTTCTCAAACTAGAATTAAGATGTGATTCCTGCTAATTGTTCTATGAAAAAGAGACTCTCATATCAATTAATTTTGATGAATACCAAACAGGAAATCTCCTTAGAAACGTTAAAAGTATATTCATGTGAAAGACCCTGAAATGTCTTAAAGATGTTCCCTGAATTTTGTCTCACCATTTGTTTCTAAATGTTTATGGATCCTCTTTTTACAAGAGGCACATTTTCAAGGTCTATTTTTAAAAAAAGTGAAAAACACAAAAGTAACAAATACCAAAAGGCAGGAGAGATTGTTCCAAATTAAGATAAACCATAGAGATAAAATAACAGGATGCAATGTAAGAGCCTTCATTGGGTCCTCAGCCTGAAGACGTATAGCTATAAAGGACAACTGGGAGACAAGTAAGGAAATGTTAATATCTTAGGTGATTTTGTCAAATAATTATTGATTTTTTAAGGTATAATATGGTACATTATGGATTTGTAAGGAAGTGTCATTTATATGGGGCTTCCCTGCTAGCACAGATACTAAAAAATCTGCCTGCAATGCAGGAGACCCTGGTTCAATCCCTGGGTCAGGAAGATCCTCTGGAGAAGGGAATAGCAATCTACTCCATTGTTCTTGCCTGGAAAATTCCATGGACAAACAATGGGGTCGCAAAGAGACACATATTTCATATATGAGGAGTGTCGTGATTCCTGCTAATTGTTTTCAAATGATTCAACAAAAAATTAAATATATAAATATATTTTAAATGTATTTTAAAATAAGATATATATAAATATATTTTAGATATATTTGTGCATAGGTATGATATTTCATTTGCATTTACTTTTTATGTTTCACTTATATGTTTATATTTGCATATATATGAAAGAAAGAGAAAAATGCAGATGAGGCAAAATACTGACAGTTGATGAATCCAGTTAAAATGACCCACAGGTGTGAATTACACTACCCTTTCAGCTTTTCTGTAGATTTAAATTTCTTCCAATATAAAAAGCATTTGAACAAAAAAGAAAGAAGAAAAAGAATCTTTGTTCTGAGGAACAAAGTTTGGGTGACATTGATGGGTTTTTTTTAAATTACATGTCTATTTTAGAACTAGAAACAGACTAAATTGAAATATGGGAACCATTCATTGAATTCTTCATCTCCAGACTGATGTAAACCTCAGCATACTGGGATGGAACGAAAGGGAAAATTAATCTCTTTCCACATTCACTGTGACCTCTGATGGCCTCTGTTTCCAGCCAGATTCATTTATCCACCAGCCACCTTCCATGGGCATCTGGATCTAGGTGTTTCTTGGCACAGATAAGACTCCTTCCCCTGTCCGCGTCAGCACCCACTGAGGCCTTTTGCTGATTTGGGTTCTGATCGATGACTGTTGAAACTCTTTGCCACTGAAGATACTTCCAACTGGACCAGTTTCCTATAACCCGTTTGCTTTTGGACAGTTTCTCTCATTCCAGTTGGTTTCATTACAAAACACTTTTGTTTGGGATTAATGCTGGGTCCTTTGAATAAAACATAGATGAACGAAGGTAAGTTGTCAACAGACTTAACAAGTTTAGTTATTTTATGATAACTGCTTTTCTCCAGGCACGAGAGAGATGCAGTTCCCCCCATTTAAACGATTCCAGGTTTCATAGGCTACACATCCATCTTCATGCTACCACTTGTGTTCTTTTTATGTTTATTAAAATGTTTATTAGAGCTTGCCTGTACAGTCTGCCTTTCCAAGGCAAACAGAAATAAAATTGCATTCTGAAGCTGCTGCTCTAGTGCCTCAGCAAAATCAGAAGTCAGTACTGAACATGCCAGAGGCACTGAGGATGGGGCACCAGATGCCAGCTCCTTAATCGCTCAAGGAGAACATTTCCATCCACTTTTTTTCCCCTTATGATGGTGTGAGCTAGAGGAGATGAGTTGAAGGGGATGTATGTGAACATTCTTGTCTAACAGTAATATATAAACAATGAAACTTGGGGTTGGGGAGTATTAAAGCTTGTCTCTCTCTCTTTAGGATCTTCTAGGAAAGGACATTTTGGAGTTCTGCCACTCCGAGGATCAAAGCCATCTTCGGGAGAGTTTCCAGCAGGTACCATGAATGTTCATTTCCAGCTGATGTAGAAGCCAGGTACACATGGATATGGTCCTTCCATGTGCCAGGCAGGCAGCAGGGAACCCCTGTCCAAGGCATCAGAGGGCCTCTCAGACCGAGGGGAGGCAACAATCAGGATGGGTCTTAAACAGATGAGCAGAGAAGAAATGACAGAACATTCTAGACAAGAGGCCAGCACCAGAGATGCAAGGAAGAGCACAGCCTATTGGGAGAGTTTTAAGTAGTTCCTCATGGCTAGAGGGACACTGGCCAGCTTGTAGGGAGGAGGTGGGCAGTGGTCAAAAATAAGGCGGATGAGGCCAGATTCTGAAGGGCTTCATATGCCATCACAAGGAACTTAAATTCTCTCCTGAGTCGTTTAAGTGAGGATTCCCTTGAGGACTTGAAGTGGAGCGGTGTTTTTGAAAAACCATTTTGGCAGCCCAGGTATGTGGAAGAGACAAGGATGCAAAATAAATGGAACAAACGACAAATCAGAAGGCTGCTTCTGTTGCCCTGGTGATGAGACCAGAACTGGGGCAGGAGCAGCAGAGGAGGTGGTTGCTGGGGTAGCGATGCTGACAATGTGGATAGAGACAGTGAAGGAGCGAGAAGGACCAAGGGTGACCATGGGGGTCTGAGAGAAAGGCCAGTATGCTCACTGCATCCAGAGCATTGTTAGAATTGGATGCTGTTTACTGAGCACCTGCTATGTGCCAGGCAGTGTGGAAAGCCCTTTTGCACACACTGCTTTCCTGAAACTTCACAACAGTCACAGGAGTGGGTGTTATTATCCTCATGTTACAGGCAAGTCAAGTGAAGCTTCGTGAAGGAATTCCACAAGGTCACATGGGTAGGGAGTGAGCGAAGCAGGACTGTCACTGCAGACCTGCCCCCTCTTGAGCCCGGGTCCAGAGAGAGAGCCAGTTCCTCAAAGGGCTCCGAGGACTCGCTTCAGTCCCTGCAGGGAAAAGAATGGGTGATGTTACAGAAGAAGGGCCTTTGAATTGCTTTTTAAGAGGGAATCATGGTTTGTCATTCATTTGAGAGAATAAGTCCTTGACATTCTGCTTTGCAAGTGGTTCAGAATGAGCTCCTCCGACACTGAGCTCTCCTGTGAAAGGCATGGAACTGTCTGCATGCACAGACCTAGGGCTCCAGTTACACCACACCTGTACGTGCACATCACTTGCGCCCTGCTGCCCTGTTCTTCCCAGATATCACCAGCTCCTGGTTACCTTTCCAACTGCTAGACTGCTTTGTTGTCCATCCTTCCTCTCTGCCTGCATCTCCAAGCTGTGATACCCTAGGGCTGTGTTCTTGGCGCCTTCTCTCCTTCTCTCTAGTATCCAGGTGATTTTACCTCCTGCATGAGTTCTGTCCAGATCATCACCTGCGGATGTGCAGATACCGAGCCCACACCTGCACTTGAGGGCCCGTGAACCTTCCCACACAGCGCTCCCCTCTCCTCACAGCCCCCAGTCTCCTTTGTGCCACTGGTCTTCTGGCTGCAAAATCAGAAACCAAGAGAGTCTTCACGCTTCCCTGATCTCCCACATCCTGCCCTGTCTCCAGCCCACCTCAAAAGACACCTGTAACCTGCCCTCTTCTCCCTCTCTTGTTCTTACTGACCTTGCCCAGGCCACCCGTCCATGTATTTTGAGTTTTACAGCAGCTTCCTTGAGCTTCCCAGGTGGTTCAGTGGCAAAGAATCTGCCTGCCAATGCAGGAGACACGGGTTTGATCCCTGGGTTGGAAAGATCCCCTGGAGAAGGAAATGGAAATGCACTCCAGTTGTCTTGCCTGGGAAATCCCATGGACAGAGGAGCCTGACAGGCTGTAGTCCATGGGATCCCACTCAGACACGACTTAGCAACTGAACAACAATGGACCCTTTGTCACATATTATCCTATATAATCCTCAGCCCTTCACAATATCTTATCATTTCTACTTTTTGCAGTGAAAACCAGGACTCAGAGAGGTTCAGTCACTTGCCCCAAGTCACACAGCAAGGTGATAACAGAACTGGAATCAGAGTCTGCCTCCTTCCGAAGTGTCCACCTCCATCCCCAAACTCCCTACACAGGCCTCTCCATCTGACAGCACCTTGGAGATTTTAAACTGCTGACACTGTCAGAACCTGGTTAGTTTGGAAAAGAAAGAGGAGTAAAACATCGATCCCACCCTAGGATTCTGCTTAAGTAACCCTTGCACTGAGAGCAGCCACCTCATTCCAGGGGCAGGAGGTGAAACCAAAGCAGCCCCACCCGATAGCCGGCGGCCAGGGTGGGTCACCTGGCTCAGCAGGCAGCAGCCAGCAGCCGCCTGGACATGCTGGAGAGCCAGGCCAGGGCTCCTCGCCTGTGTTCTTTGGGTTCCAGCCACCAGCGGCCTGGGTGGAGGACAAATGTTGATAAAAGGAAGTGACTTATTTTTGCAAAAAGCACAGAGGAGGCTGTGTGAGTTCAGAGCAAGCTCTTTAACTCTGGATTTAAACAGAAGTTTTGAATGACCCAGATGTGACACTTTAGAGTGGCATCGCGAGTTCATGAGGAATTTGTGGTTGGTGGGATGACAGCATGGCAGATGGGGCCCCGGTTGGTTGGGAATCCCGAGTCTGCTCTGGACTCTGCTGTTGGATCCCCTCTCTGGATCCCAGGTGACCTGGATGTCAGATGGAAGAGTGGGACCCAGGGAGATTAAGGCAGGCTCCTCCTTTTCTCTGCCCAAATGTCTTCCAAAGTGATGATGGTGGTGGTGATGATGAGTAAAGGTGTTTGCAGGAACAGCTGGGCTGGGCTGGCTTTATACCTGGCCTTGGTGGTCTCAGGTACTAGCATCATACCTGAATAAAGCACAGGTGAATGCACCAGCCTGGTCTCCAGGCCTGGACTGTGACACCCCCATTGCCTTACATGCGTGGTCCCACCCACATGGCACCTTAGGTCTCCCCGCCTCCAGACATGTGCTCATCTGCGCTCTCTGCCCCAGGGGACCCTTCCCCAAAGCTTTGTTATTGTTCAGTCACTCAGTCATGTCCAACTCTTTGCGACCCCATGGACTGCAGCATGCCAGGCTTTCCTGTCCTTTACCATCTCCCAGAGTTTGCTCAAACTCATGTCCATGGAGTTAGTGATGCCATCCAAACATCTCATCCTCTGTCACCCACTTCTGTCCTCAGTCTTTCCCAGCATCAAGAGTCTTTCCCAATGAGTTGGTTCTTCGCATCAGGTGGCCAGTACTGGAGTTTCAGTTTCAGCCAGAGCTTTACCAGCCAGCATATCACCCAAACCCACCTCCCTCCAGGAACCCTTTCTAGATCCTGAGAAAGCCTGTCTCCTTGACTTCCTTGTAATCCATGGCACCTGATCTTATGTTTCTGTCATTGTGTTTGCTCTCCAAGTTACAGTTACCCACGCACCTGCCCTTCCTGTGCTGGGTGAGAGGCTCTCCGGGGATGACATGACTGTTCTGTCTCAGCTCTAGCGAGTCGGGGAAAGACAGAGGTCAGGTAGAGGTCAGGTAGGCGTGGGGTCCCGTTCTCCCCTGCTCCTCCTCAATCATGAGGCTTTGGCAGGAGAGTTCCCTGTTTTCATTGTTGTGGTTCAGTCGCTCAGTCGTGTCCAATTCTCTGCAACTCCATGAACTACATACAGCACACCAGGCTTCCCCATCCTTCACTATCTCCCTTAGTTTGCTCAAACTGATGTCCATTGAGTCGACGATGCCATTCAAGTGCCCTATGTTATATGTTTTTTAGTTCTCTGATACTTTGGAGATCCTTGGCCAGATGCAGTGGAAGTTAATTGCTTCTTGGGACTTTCCTGGTGGTCCAGTGGTTAAGACTCTGAGCTTCCAATGAGAGGGACCTGGGTTTCATCCCTGGTCAGGGAACTAGATCCCACATGCCACAACTAAGACCCAGCACAATCAAATAAATAAATAAATAAAAACAAACTAACCTTTCCTTTCATGGTGCCCCATGGGCAGAATCAGATTTTTATCCCATGAGAATGGGGTGAATGGGGCTCTTTTCATTTCTGAGTTGAAGACAGCAGTCCTTTAATTTTGAGATTAACCTCCTCTGTCACAAGGCTTTGGCAGGGGAGTTCCCTCCTTTGTGGCTCAGCTTCCAGATACACCAGGCACTGTTATGAGGACCACGGGAAGAGACACGCACAAGATATTTGTAGGTCAGCCCCCGTCAGGTTCAGGGCTGGGCTCCCTCCCACCCTCGCTCTTTACCCATGGCTCCAGGGGCCAAGGGGCTTCCTTGGTGGCTCAGACAGTATAAAGAATCTGCCTGCAATGCAGAAGACGCGGGTTCAGTCCCTGAGTCAGGAAGATCCCCTAGAGAAGAAAATGGCAACCCACTCCAGTATTCTTGCCTGGAGAATGCCATGGATGGAGGAACCTGGCAGGCTACAGTCCATGGGGTCACAAAGATTTGGACACGACTGAGTGACTAACAGCAGGGGCTGAGCTCGCATACCGGCGGTGCCTGAGAGTGTGTGTTCCATGAAGTTAAAAAATTTCACACCATCTCAGGCATCCTGGTTAGAGGAAGCAGGAAAAGGCACCATCCTCAAGCTTCAGAGCACAGACATGGTCTCACCACGGGAGCGCTGCCTGCACCCCAGGTGCTTTGTGCAGACTCAGAGAACCCCCCTGGAAAACAGCCCTGAAGGGCACGTGGCCTTGACCTCTGGCCCGCTTCTTGTTGAGGCTGAAGTTTTGCTAGCAGGCACCCCTTGGCATCCTGGCTTGGCCTCACCCCACCACATAGATGTGTTGAGTCAGCTCAGAAAATGTGCTTGAGGCGCCTGCTCTCTGCCGGGTCCTGGGCTGAGGGTGCAGGCACTCAGCGACCATGGAGTCTCTGCCCCTGGCTGCTGCTGACATTCAGCCAGAATAAAGTACAAGTGCCAAGGGTTGGGGGCAGGGACCCGGGTCCCAGTTCTTATCTCTGGTCTCACTGTGATCTGCAGTCAGGAGGCTGGTTGCCTTGCAGCGCCAGGATCTGGGACGCACAGACCAGGAGGGGGCGCTCCTGTCCCCCTTGCTTTGTGCTGGAGGCGTCATCACACCCAGCCCTGGACCCATCAGCCGTCTGTATCCTTTCTCCTTCTTTCCTGATGCAGCTGAGAGCTGCCCCTGGTGTCACCTTCTGCACCCACACCCTGCCATCTAGTCTCTGCATCTTGGGGTTTCTGCATGTGATAGATTGTGTGTGTGCCTAAAGCTGGAAAGCCAGCTCTGTGTCCCCTGAAACACCCTTGTGGTTTGGAAATAAGATTTTGGTTCCTGTCCCAGCTTTTCTACCTAAGCTGTCTGATCTCAGGAAACTTATTTTATTTCTGTGACACTCAGCATTATCTTTGTAAATAGTAAAAGCCCACCTCTCCAAGTTCCTGTGAGGGATTACATTGAGAAGTATCTTGGAAACTGTACTGCAACATAAAAGTCATAATAGAGGAGCTTCCCTGGCGGTCCACTGGTTAAGATTCCCGCTGCAAGGGGCAAAGTTTCCATCCCCGCTCAGGGGACTAAGATCTCATATACCTCGTTGTGGGGGGGGGGGGGCGGGGGGCACAAAAAAGTAACAATAGATAATGCATAGAAATTTTCTATTTTATTGTATCTCCTCCCAGAGAGTATATTTAATCCAATCTGCAATGTTAAATGGAGTTTAAGAATTTCTTAATATGAAGCATGAAGAAATAAACCCACGAGTACAACGTAACTACATACCTGAGTTAACCTCATGGGGGCACGGGCACCAAGCTCGGAGTGCCCTGGTAGCCAAGGCAAAAAGGGAATCCCTCCAGCTTATAGAGTTTTCATGGTCTGAGTTCTAAAAGCTAAAATATATAAAATGGGCTGATATAAAATGGGCTCTGAAGGGGTGGGTGGAACAAATTGGGAGAGTAGCATCGACATATGTACACTATCACGTGTAAAATAGCTAGTTAATGGGAAGGCGCCGTATAGCACAGGGAGCTCAGCTTGGTGCTATGTGATGACCTAGGAGGGGTGGGACGGGTGGTGAGAGGGAGGGAGACTCAAGAAGGGACGGGATATATGTTCATGTAGAGCTGGTCCACGTTGTTGTACAGCAGAAACGAACACACCATTGTAAAGCAATTATACGCCATTATTTTCTAAAGGGCATTGCCTTTCACAGCGTGGTGATAGAACTACCCACGTGCAGTGCCCCTTCCCAAGGAGGAGTGGACTGAGCTTTCCCTTAGGGTGACCGCCCTCCCTCCGTGCCCGTCGTGGCCATGAGGCTCCTGTTCTGGGATCCCGCTGGCCCCCGCCAAGCCAGCACTGCCTGCTGCCTCCCCGCTCTGTCTGGCACCTTCCTTCCTCCCGCTGACTTCCTTCTCCAAATGTTTGCTCAGGTGGTGAAGCTGAAAGGCCAAGTGCTCTCGGTCATGTATCGGTTCCGCACCAAGAACCGCGAGTGGGTGTTGATCCGCACCAGCAGCTTCACCTTCCAGAACCCGTATTCCGACGAGATCGAGTACATCATCTGCACCAACACCAACGTCAAGTACGTACCTGCCCACCCCTCCCCAGGTCCCAGCCGGTGCTGCTGTTCTGGGCCGCTCTCCTCCCTGCAGGCTCTGGCTCTGCCGGCAGCTGCAGATCCCTGCAGGGGGCTAAGGAGCAGGACTAGGGGGAGATTGGCCCCTCTTCATTATCTCCTCCCGGGTCCCCCTTCTCAAGGCCCTCCTGATTGGGAACCCTCAGTGCTGACTGATGACCCTGGTGGTACTCCCTCTCCATCACACTGTCCGGTCAGTTCAAGATGCTCTGATTTCCAAGATCTTCTCCTCCCTGAGTGCAGGGCCCAGCAGAGTGGAGCTGGGGGCTTCCTTGGGTCTCCCTGCTGTGCCAGCTGAAGCCGGGAGGTAGAGGAGTGAGGCTGAGCCTCTTGGTAGTTCTGGGACGTGAGGGGGCAGGCAGCATGGGGATGAGCACCTCAGGGTCACAGGGCTTCTTGGCTGTCTGGTCACCGACACAATCCTCCGAGATCCTTGCTGGCTTTGCTGCTGAACCCTACGTGTGTTAACACATAGACCTGAGCTCCGGTCCTGGCCCCCGATTCCCTGCTGTGTGACCCTGACTGCATCCCTTCATCTCTCAGCCTTCTTTCCCCATTGGTGGAAGGGGTGATAACAACTCTCTCTCAGGTTTCCCGGAGGGTTTGATGAGGTTGGGCTTCTAGATACAGGCAGGTCACGCCTCCTTTCTGGATTTATTCTTGAGGAAATATCAGAAGTCCAAAGAACCAACATGGATAAAGGCAAAATGATGTCCACATGCACGGGAGCACGTGGAAGCTATGCCCAGTGTTGGGGGTGGCAGGGGGGCAGGGCGTGAGATGAGCTTACATGGTGGGAACCCTGCCCATGCGTCCCCGTGTCTCCGGTCAGCGGCACTGCTGCCCTCCACTTTCCCAGGTTCCACACTGAGCTGTGGAGTCTGTCCCCAGCCTGACCACCTCCCCGTCCTCATCTATGACAGCCCTCCTCCCTGGTCACCAACACCTCCAGGCCATCACTGTGAGTGACCTCCTGGCTCGCCCAGAGCTCTCCATTGCCATCCCTGGCTCCCTGAGTTTGGCGGTTCCCATCTGGGTCCCCAGAAGCAGCCTCCTTTCTAGCACCACCCTGAGTGTCTCGGCTTTGGCCCTGCTGCTGGATCACAGGGTACAGAGCCAGACAGATGGGTCCACACAAGACCCCTCAGAGGACCGGTGACCTGGGCTTCAGTCCCAGCTCCCACCTGGGCAAGTCACCTGCTCTTTTGAAGCCTCAGTTGCTCATCTGTAAGATGGGGAGAATGACAGACCCCACCCACTCATCCACCCTTGGATCCTCAGTGTAGATGGTGCTTTTGCACCTCTGGTGGAGCAGCAGCCCTGGGCGGTGGGATGGGGGGATCTCCAGTGGTCATTACTGATTGGATAGAGGCAGCTCCATCCCCTCTGCCACGTGGCGCAGCTGCATAGCAGTTTCGTGGCTTGTTCCACCAGCCTGGCTAAGCACGCGCTTGCTTCTAACTCTAGGCACATCGTGTTGTCTTCCAGTGAACAGGGAAGCCAGGGCCATCTGCGTGAACCCCTCTTTGTTCATGTGGGTCTGTCTAGTCGCCTTCTCTCCTGCTCTGCTGGCTGCCAACCAGGGCAAGGCCACCCTCTCCAAGGCCAAGCCTCCACTTTCCTTCTAGCTCCTGGTACATCCTGTCTCCCATGGCCCAGTGCTCATCCAGTCACGCTGCAGGTTTCCTCCAGAGGCCCTCACCTGGGCACATGCCTCCTGATCTTAGAAAACCCCTCTGTTGCCACCCTGCTTGCTTCCCTCCCTGCCCTGCCACATGTTTGTATTGGACGCCCTTGCTGTTCATCTCTCCTTGACCTCCGAGAACCTGGTGTGGTACCAACTCTGCTAACTTGCTCTCCCAGAAGCCACCAGGGACCCCCATCAATAACCCGTTCTCACGTCACTTTTCCCCAACTGTCAGGCCATCTCCTCTCTCTACATCTTACTCCTTGACTCACCTGATGCTCTGATTCTTCTTACACCTCCTTCTCCTAGTCAAGACTTTCTTGGTAAGAATAGCAGGAGTAAATCTAGTTAAGTTGGAGATCCACTAATGCAAAAAGGTAACATTTTTTTTTTGCTGGGCCTGTGCCATGTGGGATCTTAGTTCCCTGACCAGGGATTGAACCTGCACCCCCTTGACCACAGTGGAAGCATAGAGTCTTAACCACTGGACCACCAGGGAAGTCCCATATCTTTATTATTTTTTAATATCTGACTTTGTCTAGTCACTGCTTGGTAAACTCAGTCCAATGAAGGAGTTTTTGCTTTTCCCACTCTCCCCGACTTGGGCAGGAGAGGGAACAGAGTGTGGTGCCTGTTAGTGCTGGGACTGTGTTCTGCCCTGGCCTTGGAGAAAATGACAAAGCTCAAGAAACAGGAGGAAGAGTGAGACATGCAGAGTGCAGAATCCTGTAGCTCCTTCTTTGTTCAGCAGCATGGGGTGTAGAGGTGAGACACAGGCCGGACCTGCAGGGGCTTCTAGGATGAAATAATAGGTGGGCTCGTTGGCCTGGAGCCGGGGTTGGGCAGCGGGAGCCCCACGGGATGAGGCTGAAATGAACAAGAAAGCAGGTCTGCTCAGCATCTGTTCAAACCGCAGCTCATCTGCAGGCTCGCCTTGCCTGTCCCAGCCCCACCAGCTACCTGTGCCTGGAGCTGTGGAGACGGGCCAGCCTGCCACCATGCCAGGCCACGGGCAGCATCCAAGAATATCCACTGTTTTGATACCTACATATTAACCAGCTCTTAGTGATAGCTACCTCCACTTATGATCCTGCCCCTCTTCTCTTCTCTTTACCTCGTCTGCCTTCCTCCCCACACCTGGGCTCTGTCCTGGTCCTCCCTCTGCATGCGTGATGCCTGGTGTCCATGGCCTGATCCAGGGAACCTCGGAGGGTGTGATGTAAACAACCCGCCTGTCACTGAAGCCACTTAGGCGCGGGCCGCGCTCAGCAGTAGAGAGCAGATTGCCAAGCTGGGGATTGGCAGAGTCCTCTGGATTTGGGGCAGAAGAACAGACTGAAGCTCTCCTTTTTGGGGTTTTGGTTGTTTTACATTTATAACTATTCTTTTTTTTTGGTTTCACTGCATCTTCATTTCTATGCACGGGCTTTCTTTAGTTGTGGTGTGCAGGCTTCTTATTGCAGTGGCTTCTCTTGTTGCAGAGCATGAGCTCCAGAGCTCAAGCTTCAGTAGTTGTGGTGCACAGGCTTAGGTGCTCCAAGGCATGTGAGATCTTCCCAGACCCCTGTCCTGGGATCGAAACCATGTCCCCTGCATTGGCAGGTGGATTCTTAACCACTGGACCACCAGGGAAGTGCTCACCATGCTTCATTCACCTCCAACATGAGTACACGCTTCAGCACTCACAGTTGCATGCCTTGTAACGCAGCACAATGGATGGTCACTGAGCACGTGTGCCAGGCGTCCAGTACTCTCAGGATGCCTCTACTCTGGTCCTTGCCACCCCAGGTGTCTCCCATCACATGGAGAGTGTGAGAAGTGAGTGGCAGGAGGGAGAGAACGCAGGAGGGAGTAAAATGGCACAAGGAGGGCATGGGGGAGGCAAAGAATCAACAACTTCCACCCAGGGCCTCTGAGAACGCATCCCCGGCAGGTAGTGTCACAGTGGGGCCTGGAAGGAAAGGAAAGCCCCCTCCTCCTAAAAGCAGCCACAGGCAGAGGCTCTGACCTATTTTCCTGGAAGTTAGGCATCATGGACAAAACAGAGCACTCTGTCCCGGGAGTGGTGTCCTTACATCTCTTCTCAGAACGATTTCTGCCCACAGCTCACTGAGGTTGGTCCGGGTGAGGAGCTCCCTCCGAACACAGACTCACAGCAGAGGCTGAACTAGTGTCTGCTGGCCTTTAAGGCCCTCTGCGTGAGGATGTAGCAGATGTTGCCTGTGGACAGTAGAGGGCAGTGACAGCCATCATGTGAACAGTCCGGCTTCCAGTTTGTACCTGACCGTCCTCACCAGCAGTAGGCAGACTTATTGTGGAAAGGTTCTTTCATGCTCTCTGCCTGTGGGGGGGGACAGGGGAAATTGCAAACCCAGTTGCATTCGGTCCGGAGCATCCAAAAGAAACATCCTAGGGAAACAGAGTGTGAATGGTTAACATTTGAAGCTGCTGAAAGGGAGGCCTCTTTGTCCCCCACTTGCCTGTTTTCCTATTATGTTGAGGCAGGAAAAGGGAAAGTCCAGAAAACACAGGCTCCCGTTTTACGTGCTGGAGGCCCAGCTTTGAAAAATGCCCGCGTCCAGGTGTCTGGGAATGGACACCATCAGGAAGACACGCCGTAGGCTGCCGCTGAGCAGGGGTCATTGGCACGACTCAGGCGCTGTGCCTTCCTGTGTCCCACTTCTTAACAGGGGATGGAAGGCATTCCTTCACATCTGCTGGGGCTGAGCACGTGCCCTCCTGTGCGACCACCCCTTACAGAGTCCCTTCGGGTCTACATGACCACAGCTTCCTGTTGTGCTGGTGTGTGTGTGTGTCCTTGAAACTCCACGGTCCCCATGTCTTACAGGAGGGCTTCCTGGTGGGTCCAGCCTACCTGGCCAGTAGTTGGCAGGATGTGAGAGCAGAGAGTAAAAGGAAGCAAAGAAAACCTATAGGGAAGGTGTCGCTCCTGGTCTGTGCAGAGTTTAGTGAGGAAGGAGCCGAAACACCCTGTCGAATCACCAAGCCCCATCTTATCTTGGGTCCCGCCCTCTCATCCACCTGCAGTAGACAGTTGGCAGAGAGCCGGGGCCCACGGATTCTGTCTGGGGTCCTTTCTGGCCCACCTCCTGCTCCTCTACTTCTGCCTCCATCAAGGCTTCGCCATCTCCCAGGTGACCATCCATCATCCCCACTGGCCGGTTCTCCCTGTCTTCCGTCTGGCCCTGGAAGCATCTCTCTAAAATCACACTCGGGCTGCTCCCTGTCCCGGATCATACCAGTTCCGAAACCTTTCACAGGCACCCAGAGCCCTTCACAGGGGGCATGCAGATGGTGCTCAATCCATGGGGGTGAGGGGACAGGATATTATTATCCTTGCTCTGGTCAGCTGAGCTCTCCCGCCCCTGCCACCCTGCTGGCTCTGAGCTGGATTCCCATTACTCCCAGGGGTATGATGGCAGACTGCCCCCGACAGCCCCCCTAATGGCTGGTTGCTCACTTACTCTGGCTGAGTAAAAACCTCTGCCCTGGGAGCATCAGAGATAATTGACAGCATCTGCCAGCATGCTGTACCTCCTGATGCAGCCAGGCCACTCTGACAGGAAGCCGGTGCTTGGTGTGCCTGCGGATCATTAGCTCTGGGCCCCCAGCTAATGGGTGGTGGGTGGGGGCAGCAGTCTGTGGAACAGGATCCGGTTCCCTTCCATGTGCTGTCGGTCAGCTTTCAGCCCAGCCACCCTGTTTCTCCCTCTCTGGAATTTGCAAGCACACCAAGGTTTATTTTCATTCCATTGCCATGAAATGTCCGAGAAAGCTCCTCAGACCGCTTCTCAGGATGGGGCGGCCCTCGGGTCAGCACTTCTTCCCGACGCGCTCAGCTGCGGAAGCGGAAACCAAAGGCCCAGACCGAGCATCTCATGTCCAGACCACAGGGACAGTGCGGTTGGCATCCTGGGTCTTTGCCAGCCGGGCCTGAGACTTTGTTTTCTTTCTGTATCCTAGCAAAAGTCACTGTCTGTGGTCTTAGAGCCCCCAGAGCTCAACAGAGCAGAGAGCAGACGCCCGTTGTAATACCTCTGGTTCTGATCGCGTCTGATCATGCTTCTGTGCTAACTAAAGCCCTCGCCCTCCTCCATGCATCAGACACACACCAGGGCGCACAGCTGGGCAAGTGGGAAGGGCTGGGTTTCTGCCTCATTCATCCCACGCACCAGGCCCCCCGGCACAGCAGCACAGCTGATTCTGTGCTTGGGCTGGACACCAGGGCTGAACCACGAGGTAGGAGTGGTCCTTATATCCTGGAAAACCTCTTCTGTGTTCAAGGTTGAGCATCAGAAAGCTTATGAAAGGAAGAGGGAGGTGGTCCATGGATTCCTGCCCTGGAGGGGAGCTCACTGCTACAAAAATCCCACAAAAACCCCAAAGCACAGATTTTTGTTTTCTCCTACCTGGTGGCTCAGGATGGTGTCTTGGGCTCACAGCTCTGGGATGGGACGCATGGAAAGGTGGTTCCTGTTACATCTTTGGGATGGAGTGCAGGGGCTGATGCAAGACACACTTGGTTTTGAATCCTGGGTTTGCCATACTGACCAATGTCACCCTGGGCAAGTCATTGAACTCTATGAGCCTCAGTTTCTTTATCTGTAAAATGGGATGTTTTGCAGAGATGTGAAAACGTTGATGAGGTTCTGGTTCTGAGTACCACACTTGGATTTTAGAGGGCATGCCAATGAGAGATGAGGGTGCCTGCAAGATGTAAATCAAAGTAAAACACAAAGCTGTCAAGTCAGAATCAGAAAATACAGAAAGTTGTCATTTTTCAATAGACGATTATATCAATTCTTTAAAATGTTTTTGAAATGTCCATTTTTTTGAAAATTATTTTTAGTGCTCCTGTTTCCTGGTGTTACTGGGCTTAGGCTGCCTGGTGGGCAGTCACATGGTGCTGGTTTTATTGTTAAGCTTTTCTCCAGGCTCTGACACCAAGGTTGGGAGACATACTGCGGGCTTCCCAGGTGGCTCAGTGGTGAAGAATCCACCTGCCAATGCAGAAGACACTGGTACCATCCCTGGGTGGGGAAGATCCCCTGGAGAAGGAAATGGCAACCCACTCCAGTCTTCTTGCCTGGAGAATTCCATGGACAGGGGAGACTGGCAGGCTGCAGTCCACGGGGTCACAAAAAGTCAGACACGACTGAGCAACTAACACTTTCACACTTTTCACTTTCAGATAGAACCTCCCTTCTTCCTGTGTTGTGATCTCTAACTCAGCATACTGCCATTGTTTTTGCCAACTTACCTGTCTGCCCCTGGAGGCTGTCAGCTCCCCGAAGCCAGAGACCACATAAGTTCTGAGTTATCTTTTCTCTCCAGTGCCTGGCAGACACTTGGCATAGATCGCTTAGCACACTTCACCGAAGACATGGCTCACCTGGGCTTAGTTCTTTTTTTTTTTTTTTCCTGGCTGCACTTGGAGGCATATGGGATCTTACTTCCCTAACCAGGGATCGAACCCACGCCCCCTACATTGAAAACTCGGTGTCTTAACCACTAAGCCACCAAGGAAATCCTGCCAAGCTTACTTTTAAATAAACTATTCACTGGGTCTTCCAACTAGGTGGGGTCCTCTTTTAAGATGTCTTTGCTTGTGGGGGGCACACATGCTAGGGACCCCAATTAAAAGGCGTGGCTGGAGGCGTAAACAGTGTTTAGATTGTACACCTCTGAATGCTGAGGGAAACAGTTGAGAACCACAATTTAAGTTATTTTGTGTTTGTCCAAAGCAGAATTGGAACTGAAACTGGGAGTCGTAGGGAGGTGCGTGTGTGCTAAGTCGCTTTGGTTGTCTCCAACTCTTTCGAACCCATGGATTGTAGCCTGCCAGGCTCCTCTGTCCATGAGATTTCCCAGGCAAAAATCCTGGAGTGGGTAGCCATTCCCTCTTCCAGGGGATTTTCCCAGCCTAGCGATTGAAGCCAGGTCTCCTGCATTGGCAGGCGGATTCTTCACTGTCTAAGCCACCTGGGAGTTTTAAATATAAAGGGAGTTTTAAATATCTCTATCCCAAGGACTGTGAGCTTACTTTGTGAGGCTAACATGGTCCATATGAGTGCAGACTCTGAGCAGAAAGCCCTCTGACCAGCATCTTCGGTCTCCCCCTGACCCAATCACACCGCTCCCCCCAGGAGCCCTCCAGGTCCTCAGATGCTGATTCAGGTTGCGACTGTTCAGCAGCGGCCCCTCTGTAGGGACCCGCTCCCTGACTGAGCTGGTCCACAGCTGCCCTGCCTCTCCTGTCCGCTCCAGGGAGGGTCTCACGGGCTCTCCTCCGTGCACCTCAGGCCGCAAGTGAAGGGGGCAGGGGATCTGTGAGCTGTTCTTGCGGCAGTCCTGCCTGCCACCTTCCTGTCCAGGGTGTGGCCAGGGTTGACAAAGGGACACCCTAGCATCATTCATACTTTGATAGTGAAAATGAACACAGAAAATCTTTACAGTTAATGCAAGCACTTAAGATTTTTTTTTCCATGTTCCAAATCTCACTCAGTCACACAGGATGTTTACGTTTGTAGCTGTAATCACAGCATCCATAACATTTGGTGCTCAACTTTTCCGCACACTCTTGTCACACCTTGTGGTGTTTCCAGTCTTCCCTGTAGCCACCGCTGCTGACCGTGTTTACTCAGCAAATGAATAGATGTGGTTTACAAAGCCGCTCCCCTGTCACAGCCAGCTGTGCGGGGACAGCTCTTGTTTCCTGCCCCTGAATCATTTCCTTAGCACAATCCCTGCTTCAGGGCGACCACCTGCAAGGCTGTGACCGCAACCGCCCTTTCTGATGTGGCCTCCGTCCTGTTTTCCGAGAAGACTGCGTCCACACAGGCTTCTCTTGCAGGGTGTGAGCGGGATAGTTTCAGTACCATGCCAGCACACTGCGCGCTTTTACCAACTCAGTAGGTGAAAAATTGTACTTTGAGATTATTTTAATTTGTTCTTATTTTGCTTATTTTAATAGTGAAAATATTTCCCTACTTGCTCATTGTATGTATATAATATATATATACACATATATATATTTATGTATTATTGTTGTTTAGTCATGAAGCCATGTCCGACTCTTTTGCCACCACATGGACTGTAGCCCTCTAGGCTCCTCTGTCCATGGGCTTTCCCAGCAAGAAATCCCATTTCCTTCTCTAGGAGATCTTCCTGACCCAGGGATCAAACCTGTGTCTCTTGCGTGTCCTGTGTTAGCAGGCAGGTTCTTTACCAGCTGAGCCACCAGGGAAACAAAAGCAACTATACTCAATAAAATTGACTTTTAAAAAAAAAACCACTTATTTCCTAAATATTGGCAACCTAAGCCAGGTTTGATCCCTGGGTCAGGAAGACCTCCCCCTCCCAGAGGAGGAAATAGAAACCCACTCCGTATTCTTGCCTGGAGAATCCCGTGGACAGAGGAACCTGGCGGGATACAGTCCATGGGGTTGAAAAGAGTCAGACACCACTGATCGACTAGCACTTTCACTTTCCAACTTACAATATGAGACTTGGAGCCTTGATTTGGAACATGAAGAAATAAAATCAGTCAAAACTGAAAACGATTTAGAGATCCAACAGGTGTCACCTGCTGTGCCCTTGGGGAGCAAGGGACATTCAGGCTCCACCCTGTCACCCCCACATCTATTTTTCCTGACTCTCTGCTGACCCCTTGTTTCACAGGCAGCTCCAGCAGCAGCAGGCAGAGCTGGAAGTGCACCAGAGAGACGGGCTGTCATCGTACGACTTGTCGCAGGTGAATTTCTGGAAAACTCTTTCCCAATTAGAACTGTCTCCAACCAAAAGACTGCAGACTAAATCCCCTCAGCCCAGGAGGTGCTGTTGCTCCCTCCACCCACACTGCAGAAAGCATTTTGGGCCCCAGAGAGTGTGTGTGTGCAGTGGAGGTCTACTGTGACTCTTCCATGCAGAGCTGAGCCGTGCAGAGTGTAGAACACAAGCGTTGGGAGCTGCGGTCAGCCAGTACAGTAAGTTCCCTCCATACGGAGTTCAAGCTGTGAGCTTTCAAAGATGCAAATGTGGGTTTGCATATCCAATCACATGAGTTAGTTCTTATGTCTGGCGTACACTATCATGTGCGTACAGCCTGTACAAGTGGCTGTGCTCATGTGTATTTTACTGTACAGTACTATATAGAGGACAGCAGTGCAGTGTCTATTTCAAGCCCAGGGTGTCGGGAAGCAAGCATAAAAGCAGTGATGATGTAGCTGGTGCTCCTGTACTTTTTAAGGTACTGTACTGTAAGATTAAAAATGTTCTCTTAATTTTTTTATGCAGATATGTGTGAAAAGTATTATAAACCTATGAGAGTAAAGTACTATATAGCCGAGTGTGTTAGTTGGGCACCTAGACTAACTTTGTCAGACTTAACAAGCAAATTGGTCTTATGAACATGCTCTCGGAACAGAACTGGTTCGTATGTAAGGGACTTACTGGTACTGAGATCCAGAGGCTGTGTGGGAACTCGGAGACCACCCAGCTCTGAACCTTGTCAGCCCTGCAGCCTTTACGCTGCCCCTCCCACCTTTAATCTGCACCCCAATGTTCTCAGGGCACCTCTTCCTGGCCATCTTCTCAGGCCCCCCTCCTTCCCTTCTCCTTCCTCCTCTTCTCACTGCTTCTGGCCTTAGAGAAACTGAAGCTTGTGTTGGTACTTGGCGTCTCTCTCCAATTAAACTTTATGTTCCCTTTCCCTGATATTTAGACTAAGTTGATCATTTTTATTTCTCTCTCTCCAAGTGATCGGTGGAACTCCAGTGAGCCTTCTGTGAACCCTTGTTCACACCCACACCTGTCTGTTCTAGGCTTTCACATATACAAAACTCCCTGCTCTACCCAACACCCCAGCCTGAGATGCCAGCGATTCCGAGGGAGGGGAATCTGGTGTGTCTGTTCCGCCCCTCACACCCAGGGATGCTGTTGTGTTTTCATTTGCAAACAGGTGCCTGTCCCCAACCTACCAGCCGGGGTTCATGATGCAGGGAAGTCTGTGGAAAAGGCAGATGCAATCTTTTCCCAGGAAAGAGACCCACGGTTTGCCGAAATGTTTGCAGGAATCAGTGCGTGTAAGTTCCCAAAGAGTGCTGACGTGGTGGGATGGTGGGGTTATAGTCGCCACAAGCCAGCTGGAGGCAGCCACCCTTGAGGGTGAATTTATGGAGACTGCTGCAAGGTGTAAAAGGAACACAATTCAGGGGTCCTAATGAATCCTCTCTATTCTCAAACTCACCTCTCATTTACCTGTTACCTGGGGCAACCACCTGACATCTCATGGGCCTCTGACAAACACCTGGGACCTCTGACATCTCATCTTCAAAATTTGAGGAATTGGAGTAAATGAGCTCTATTCATCATGGTACAGTTTAGTATTATCAAGCCAAAGACATGTCCCTATTTTTAAAAAATTTTAATCTCTAATATAGAGAGGACCATATTTTAAAATAAAAATATGCATAAAAAGGAAAATAAAAATTATCCAGTATCCTACCACATAGATTTAATCTTTTTTAACTTTTTAAAGCTTGTCCTTTTTGTCTTTCTACACATTGTTGTTGTTCGGTTGCTAAGTTGTGTCTGACTCTTTGCAATCTCCTGGGCTGCAGCACACCAGGTTTCCCTGTCCTTCACTATCTCCCAGAGCTTGCTCAGACTCATGTCCATTGAGTCAGTGATGCCATGCAACCATCTCATCCTCCGTCTCCTGCTTCTCTTCCTGGCCTCAACCTTTTCCGGCATCAGGGACTTTTCCAATATGTCAGCTCTTCGTATCAGATGGCCAAAGTATTGGAGCTTCAGCTTCAGCATCAGTCCTTCCAGTGGATATTCAGGGTTGATTTCCTTTTGGATTGACTGGCTTGATCTTGATGTTCAAGGCCAAACAACTAACATGGAGGGAGCACAGAGCCCCCTCCAGCAGAAGACAACTGGGTTAAAGATTTACTGAGCATGGTCCTGCCCATCAGAGCAAGACCGTTTTCTCCACATATGAATTATTTTTATATACAGAATTGAGCTCATACTGTTTGGTAGCTTACTTTTTCACATGTCTATTACAAACATCTTTCTAGGTTATTAAATAATCTGCATTGTTACTGCCTGCATAGTGTTCCAGTGTATGAGTGTTCATAAGTCACCATTTGTGGTAGTCTCCAAGGTGTCCACCTGTATTAGTGTCACTATTAGAGAAAGTGGTACCATTCATGGGACTTCCCTGATGACTAGTGATTAGGACCCTGTGCTTGCACGACAAGGGTTGCAGGTTTAATCCCTGGTCAGGGAACTAAGATCCCTACTTGCTGCACGGCACAGCCAAAAAAATAAATAATAAAACGATATAAGAAATTTTATAAAGAAACAAAATGGTGCTGTCCAAAGTTCAGGTGTCATGGAACCCACTTGTGTAGCCGCCTCACTCGCCCACTCAGACTGCCACTGAGATCAGCAACATATAAAACTTGGAAATGTCGTTGTCGGTTCCAAAATTCAGGAAAAAAGATTCCATTTTCATGGGATCAGTGAGATACAGCACAATTGGGATCAGTTTAGGGAGATACCAGCCGACTCATGCCACAGAATCATGGGAAATGAAGAAAAGGGTCAGGACCCCACTGCCTCCCAGGACCAAGGAGAGGGGACAGCGTGGCCTGGGGGAGGACAGAGAGGCCCTTGGCAGGTCCCAGTCCTTCTGTCAGCTCGTGGGGTGGAAGACCTCAGCCCTTATTCTCATGTGGCTGGGGACCGGATGCTAAGAAAGCAGGAAGCTGGCTGAACTGGTGGCTCAGACGGTAAAGATTCCATCTGCAGTGCGGGAGACCTGGGTTTGATCCCTGCGTTGAGAAGATCCCTTGGAGGAGGGCATGGCAACCCACTTCAGTATTCTTGCCTGGAGAACCCCATGGACAGAGGAGCCTGATGGTCTATAGTCCATGGGGTCACAAACTGGACACGACTGACTGACTATGCACAGCACAGCCTGAACCGAGGGCAGCAGGTGCCAGCACAGCACAGTGTCCAGCCCCGAGCAGAGGACAGACCTGTTAGCATGATGCGAGGGCTCCCTGCTGGTGCTCCCCCTCCTCCCCATCGCCGGTCATCCACATCTGCCGGCTGCCCACAGCAGTATTTCCTCCACTTTCATAAAGAGATGTGGTTTCATCCAGCAAGAGAAAACAATCCCACATCTCACTGGTTCCTCTTCCTCTCAGATAAGCCTGAAATATTTGGCCACACCCACAGCATTTCTGGGAAATCCTTTTGAAATTTTAATATTATACAGACATAGACATCTTCCCATAGAGATGACAAAATAGAAAAAAAAAGTTAACAGAAAAGGAAAAAGAAGGGGAAGGAAAATACATAATCTCAAAATTTTTCCACCAACCAAGATGCTTTCCTTTATGAAAAAGCAATAGAGAGTTTTCTCAGTGGTTAAGAATCCACCTTTCCATGCAGGGGACGTGGATTCGGTCCCTGGTCGGGGAACTAAGATCCCACACACAACAAAGCAACTAAGCCCACGTGCTAGAAATATTGAGCCCTCACACTCCGGAGTTTGTGCTCCACAATAAGAGAAGCCCTAGTGCCTCAACTAGAGAAAAAACCCGCACATCACAAGGAAGACCCAGTGCAGCCAAAAAAAGGAACAGAAGGACCTTCTCAGATATGTGCCATCTACTTATACTTCCTGGAAAAAATGACTTGCAGGAGAAGTCATTGTGAAATGAATCAAAATACAGAACACAAGATTGGAAATGATAGGTTGGAAAAGTAGTAGCAATGAAAAAGTGAAACTAGTGACATGTAGAATTAATATAAAAATTGTTAGAAGATACAAAAGATATTTAAAAATAAATAAAAACCCAAGTCAAATAAGTTCAGCAAAAATACATACTTTGGGTGAAGGGACTAAGAACCGAAATTTCTCATCAGTCTATACTATTTTATCTCTGACATTTACAAAGATATATAACTTCAAGTATTTAAACATAACTACTAATGAATGGTAAAAAGAAAAAAAAAGGAAAGGAAAGAGGTCTCACTTCCAAACCATTTCCAAGAAAAGACAAGGACATTTTTAGCAACTTGCAAAATACTCAGAAGAAAAATAAAGTGAAATAGCAAGAAACTATGAATAGCATGAGTAGTGCAATAAGTTGATGCCCAAGGGTTCCTGACTGATAGTTCTGGAATAATTGGATAGTTCTGGAATGGTATGCCCCCCAAAAATGATATTACCATAGCAAAGTGAAACTATTTAACCTGGAAGAGTTGATGGTGATGATGCTCCAAAACCAAGGAGGAAAGCAGAGGTGTTGACCTTGCCGCACAAAGAAAAGTTAGAGCATTCAGTGGGCAAAGAAGCTTATTTTATATAGATAAAAGGTGGAACCTAAAAATGAAGATACATCATGAACATTGAAATGTGAAATCCAAAAATAGTCTGAAACACAAGAGATCCTGATAAAGCCAAATTGCAGTGGAAGATTTCAATATGCCTTTCTCCATCTCTAACAACTCATGTAACTCAAAGTAATAAGAAAGATATAGAAGATTAAAAATTATGTATATATATATATATATATATATATATATAATTTTATGTATATGCATGCTCAGTCGTGTCTGACTCTTTGCAACCCCATGGATGATAGCCCACTGGACTCCTCTGTCCATGGGATTTCCCAGACAAGAATACTGGAGTGGGTTGCTATTTCCTCCTCCAGGGGATCTTCCCAACCCAGGGATCGAACCCATGTCTCCTTCATTGGCAGGCAGATTTTTTACTACTGAGCCACCTGAGAAGCCCATGTGGTTTTATAGACATATGTAATTTTGTACCCCACAAACATCCTGGGACATTGAGAAAAATAAATGTTTCTTATTTAACCAACAACCAAAAATCTTAAATACATGAGAGAAAAATGGCTTGTTTATAGTCGAGAGAAATTCAGAAGTCTTTCTTATTCCTGCAACTTTTAATTTTATTTATTTTTTGGCAACCTCATGTGCCTTGCTGGATCTTAGTTCCCTGACCAGGGATCAAACCTATGCCCCTAACAGTGGGAGCATGGAATCTTAACCACTGTACCTCCAGGGAAGTCCCTCTCCTGCAACTTTTAGCCTTGTCTCTTTCTCTCCAAGATGCAAGGCCTTGTGATTAGGTTAGAAATACACACCCAAGAGTCTGATCCCTTTCCGTCCTGTAGGGATTTTCCACTGCGCAACACCATCATTGCAACAGAAGACCATGGAGCAGTGAAACTGCTCAGTGCCTCTGTGTTTCTAAAAATGTCATGGAGGTTTGTTGACACGTGTGGGAGATTTAGCCATGGCCCCTTTAGCCCAATCCCGGGGTCCCAAGTCCGGGATCCTGAGTGTTCATCACTGCTAATGGCCACCCAGGGAAGGATTGGCCCGCTCCGCCCATCCCCCCACCAACAGGCTCAGAGACAGGTGCAGATGTGGGTTCTGTCTAGGCACAGAATAGCTGCCATGTAACTCATCTGCATCTCCTTTATTCTGGTATCTTGCTCCTAGTAGAGATGTTAGAGATTATAGGAATAAGATGCAAGCGGGGTCTTTGAGCTTCTGGGGAAATGGGAGGGTGCTTCAAGGGAGCCCTGGGCCCTTCGATTAGAAGAGGGAGTGAGAGAGCTCCCATCCCCACTGCTGTTTCTCAAACTACCACCCTCTTGCTCGTGTCAGATCTAAAGGCCCAGCTGGGATTTAGCCCATTTCTTTAGCCTCTCTCTGTGGGTGCTCGGGGCTCCCTGCCCTGGGGTCTGTAGGGCTGGAACTCTTCCAGGGTGACCCTTGCTCTACTTTTCCCAGCGGAGAAGAAGATGATGAGCTCAGCTTCTGCGGCAGGAACACAGCAGATCTACTCCCAAGGAAGCCCGTTCCCTGCTGGACACTCGGGAAAGGCCTTCAGGTACCAGTCAGGAGTGTGGGGCACGGGGCAGGGGCGGGCAAGAGGGCAGGAAGAGGGCCCTCCCCAGTGAAGCCCTGGGTCTCAGAGTCTGGCTCTGTGTGCAGCAAATACTGCCAACCTCACTTAGTGCTTACCCATTCGAATGCCCGGGCTTCCCAGATGGCTCAGTGGTAAAGAACCCACCTGCCAGTGCAGGAGATGTGGGTTCAATCCCTGGGTCAGGTAGATCCCCTGGAGAAGGAAGTGGCACCCCACTCCAGTATTCTTGCCTAGAGAATCCCATGGACAGAGGAGCCTGGCAGGCTACAGTCCATGGGGTCACAAAGAGTCAGAGATGACTGAGCATCCACACACACACACATTTGTATGCCAGGGCCAGGCTGAGGGGTCCAGGAGCTCCAGTTCTGACCTTCAAGCCCTTGATGAGCCACCGTAAATACACCGTGTCGGTTACTCTTTCTTGGATGTGAATGGTGCCAGCCACTGTGTTGTGCAGAGGTGCCTGCCATGGAGAAGGGAGTGGGGTGGCTCTAGCCAGGACAGACCTAGGGACACCTGACAAGGCAGCAGGAAGTACCCTGTCCCTGGGTTTCTAGAGGCCAGAGCGACCTCCAAGGGGGAGAGGACCACTCAGTCCATCACGCCTGGGGTCTCAGCCTAAAGGGCTGCCTATGGGAGGTATAAGTAGGATGTTGTGCTTCCAGGGGTTGGTTCTTAGCATCAGGGGTCTCTTGTAAATCACTGAGGAAGCCAACAGCACCACCAGGGATGGGGCCTGGCTCCAGGGGCTCCCAGGGCAGCAGGAGCAGGGGCTGGGGAGCTCAGACAGACACCTTCAGGGAGGGCGGTGGGCACTTGTGTGAGCCATCGGGTGCCCCCAGGCCCACTAGGAGAAGCATCTCAGACCCATGCCTGGTGGGATGGGGCTCCCCAGGCAGCCCAGCCTCTGACTGACTCGGCCAGAGCTGAATGTCCAGTTGAGAATCAGGCAGGGACCAAGACTGGGCAGGTGGACCAGCCACCCCAGGGAGAGGTCCCAACTGGGATGGCCCTCACCAAGGGTCAGTGGACCGACCTTGGGGAGGCAACAAGTGGTCAGCAGCTGCGCCATGAGACATTAACCCCTGAGGTCACAGAGTGGCTCTGCCAGACCCACGCTGGGCTGTAGTAGATGTTCTGAGTCTCTGGGGAACTCTGTCCTGGTGCGGCTACTCTCTAGTCTGGGGATGGGAGGACAAGATGGTGGCACCCTGTGAGCTGCCCCTGAGACATAATCCCTGCTGGTCACCTGGCTCTGCGGAGCACTGGCTAAGGCTCCAGGCTCTTCCCCTGCTGCTGGTTACTCACCCACTCAACACATGGTAACCTGCTGTAGTTCCATGCCAGGCCCGCCTAGGCCTGTGTTCATTGAGTCCTTGTAACACTTGCTGCTTCCCCCTCTCCCTCCCCGCCCCCTGCCATCTGGACAGAGGGCAGCCAGGATGAAGCAGAAGCCAGAAGTGAGGAGGCTAGCCAGGCACAGCATGGTGGGGACAGAGGTAGGGGGAGGCCCGGAAGCAAAAAATCAGATGGGCACCTACTGCAAGGGTAGGTGCACAGGCATCAGGATTGTGCTGAGCAAAGTCCAAGAAACGGGAGACATGGGGACTCCTGGAGTCTGGGAGGAAAAGAATAAGATGAATACATGAGTCTTAACTGCTCTGCTTGGCTTGGGAGTTTGGTCTCCATCACTGGGACGGCTCATGGTAGAAAAGGGGCTTGAGGAAACAAGGTCCTGGAGAAAGTTTGTGATGACAGGGGTGTAAGGGGTGGAGTGGAGGAGTGAGGCTGAAGGCAGGTGCTTAGAACAGATGGTCCAGGCAGAGATGCTGAGTCTGTACCAGCTGTTGTCACTGAAACAGAAGAGGGGGGCCAGTCCCCTTGTGGAGCCTGGCTTTGGGGAGGGTCTCACTAGATCACTTGTCTATAGAACAAATGTGTTAATTAGTTAAAAGAGTGCCATGAAGCTGTAAGCTTGTAGCATGGACAGTTTCCTGTAAATCTGCAGGGCCTGAGCTGGATTGAGTGGGAAGGGACAGGGGTGAGTGGCACTGAGCCCTTGGCAGAATGGCACAGCTATGGCTGCATGTCCCTAAGTTTGTCCCCCACCTGAGTCCTGCTATGGTCCCACGGGCCCTGTGCACCAGGACACCTTTTCTGGGGTCCACAGCACTCCTGCCAGCTCTCCAGTCAGTGCTGTGAGGGCACCCAGGGCCAAGGGGAGGAGGAAACCCCTGCCACCCCAATAGAGAACAGTGATCTGAAAAGGCCCTGAGGTCACATACACACATCAAGAGGGAGATGGGAAAGGAGCCCTGTGTTAAGTGGGGAAGAGATCTTGGGAGTGAAGTTCCTCTTAATCACAGTTAGTGCAGGAATTTTTTTTTTTTGGCTATACTTCATTGCGGCACGCTGGCATCTCTAGTTGTGGCACACAGGCTTAGCTGCCCCTAGGCATGTAGGATCTTAGTTCCCCAGCCAGGGATGGAACCTGAGCCCCCTGTGTTGGAAGGTGGAGTCTTACCACTGGATCACCAGGAAAGTCCCATGGTGCTCTTTCTTCCCTCACAGCTCTGCCGTGGTGCACGTGCCTGGAGTGAATGACATCCAGTCCTCATCCTCAACAAGTCAGAACATATCCCAGATCTCCAGGCAGCTCAACCAGAGTCAGGTGGCCTGGACAGGAAGCCGGCCGCCCTTTCCAGGACAGGTATGGGCGTCAGCACGGGCGTTGCCCCAGGTCCCCAGAGGGCGCAGAGCACCTGAGCTGTGCTCTCTGGGGATCCCGGCTCTGAGAACAGGTCAGTGCATGGAGCTGGAGCTGACTGCCTCAACCACGGCCGGGCTCCTGGGAGCACAGGGGCAAAGGGTACTTTGAGAACCAGGTACATATCAGTGGTACCAAGGTTTCACAGCCTTTTCTCCCAGCAGTCTGGAGGCAGCTCTGGGGAGCCCAGGGGAGGGGATACGCACTCAGAGACCCTCCATCAGGAGCAAGCCCCTCACCACCTAGGACCTCAGTTCCCTTGGCCCAGGAGTGCATGAGGACATCAACCTGGGGATGCGCCTGGCTCCCTGTCGTCACTGTGGGGACATCTGTAATCCTGGACTGGTAGAGTCCTTGCCAAGGTCCCCTAAGCAGAAGGCAGAGGACTTAGATCCCTGAGTCCCTGGAGGGCAATTGCAACCAGACCCTGAAGATCCAGGACCTGAGTCCTGTTTCTTGGGCCAGCACATGTTGGCCTGATCCTGGGCATGGCGCCCAGCAGGCCAGGAGGCCACTAGAGTCACTGTCAGCCCAGAGCAGGGCTGCCAGTGCAGGCTGGACCTGCGCGTGACAGAGACCAACTGGGGCCGTGCGGGGGCGGGGGGGGGGTGCTGCTGGTGATGCTGGCCTTCTCTTCGCTTTGTCCTGATTGTAGCAAATCCCCTCACAGTCCAGCAAGACTCAGTCTTCTCCCTTTGGGATCGGAACGAGCCACACATATCCCGCAGACCCCTCGTCCTACAGCCCTCTCTCCAGTCCGGCTACCTCCTCGCCCAGCGGGAACGCCTACTCCAGCCTGGCCAACAGGACTCCAGGCTTCGGTAGGTGGGGACAGAGGGGAAGAATTTCTGGAAGAGCCAGCTGAGATAATTTCTGAACATTCTGGGTTTGGGGGTCTGAGCCCTAGGCTCTCAGAACCCTGGTACCAGGTCTGGAGATTTCCAAATTCTCTTCTCCCTGGCCATTAGGAGGCCAGTGGTGTCCCTAAGAGACTTGCTGCCTAGACCTGGGCTTTGTAGATTGACTTTATCATTGTCAAGGCTCTCAGTCTCCTGTGTACTGACTGTCATCTGAGTGCTATTTTAACCATTTATGGCCCTTGGCAAGGACTTTTAGATCACCCAAATCAAAAACCCTATACAGTAAGTCCCCTACTTATGAATGAGTTCTGTTCCAAGAGTGCATTAGTGAGTCCAATCAAGTTAGCCTAAATATCCAACTAACACAACTGGCTATATAGTACTGTACTGCCATAGATTTATAATGCTTTTCACACAAATAATACATTTTAAAAAAGCAAGCATTTTTAATCTTACAGTTCCATACCTTGAAAAGTACAGTAGTGCAGTACAATAGCTGGGCATATTTGCATCTTTGAAAGTTTTTATATAGGGAACTTACTGTGATCTTGTTTCAAAAAGCTAGGGAAGTATGGGTCATAGGGATGATGCATTGCGTCAATAAATTGTGTACATGATAAACATTGTAAAGTTCTCTCTTTAATATTACAAGAGGGATCCTATCCCACTGAAGAACACCTTGCTTAGCTTTGCTTGCACAACTTCAGGCCCTAAAGGGTTAACTGTCTGCTCCCTCTGGTGGACTTCCCAGGAGCCCCACCACTGCTCATCCTGCAGGTGTTTAAATGACTCACTCCGCGTGTCTCCCAGGGTCCGAGTCCCACGTCACAGAGCAGGAACTCAGAAAGGCTCCTGATGCCGGCAAGAAGCCTGAGCTGGTGTCCCCTTCCTGCAGGGCTGTCTGTGGAGACAGTCATGCTCAGGGGGCATTTCCTCTGCAGAATGCATCATTCTCAGGCAAGCATGAAGCAGAGTCCAAACAGCTGAGTTTCCACTTGAGCTGCAAGTGTCCCTTTAGGGCTATGTCAGCTTTAGCAAGCATGTGGTGCCTTGCCCCTGGCCCACACCTGAGTTGTCAGCTGCCCCCACGCCCTGTCCAACCCCACCACTAATAGCAGCATTTCTGGCCCCGCAACCCCAGGTCTGGTGGTTGGGGAAGCATTTCCCAACCCTTTAACTGTCCCTCCCCATCAGATTCAGGTGTCTCTCTGAGTGAATCCCATAGACTTGTAGCAGGTTCTCATACTCAGCCTTTAAATATCCTTGCCAGATGATTCAGTGAGTTTAGAAGCACAGCCCCCTGTTTCAGGAAGGAGAGGCCCTTCCTGAAAGGCAGCTGCTTTCAAGCCAGCCAGGAGCTCAACTTAGACCCACCCTGAGGTTGGAAGTCTCTGGTTCCCAGGAGGGCCCCCTGCTTGCTGCATGTGGAGAGACACCACCCCCACCGCCAGTCTCAGCACACTTGGCACACAGGCACCTAGTCCTTCCTGGGAGCACAGGGACCACCGGGCACTGACCTACTCGCTGGCCCTCCTGATGCCAGGCCCTGTGCTGAGCCCTGGGAGGAGACTCGGTTCTGACCGGGTAGAAGGTCACAGTGCAGACCCCGAGGCAGGGGAGACAGACAGGTACAAGGAGGCAGGCAGGCCCGTGCTGGAGGTGCAGCAGCCAAGTCTGTTGGAAGCAAGTGGGGGAGTCAGAAGAGGCTCCCGGGAGAGTCAGCATTTCCCCTGGTGTGGCCTAGAAGCATCTCAGGGCGGCCCTAATGAGAAATGAGGGGAAGCCACCCCCTACCCCAGCAACTAGAGCTTTTAGCTCTGTGCCTCTGTCTGGTCTCTACTTACCAAATGCTGGGCTCTGAAGTGCAAATGGAGGTGGAACACAGGAAGGACAGAGCCGGGGGCTGAGGCTGCCTTACAACCCGCTGACCACGAGCAGGACTGCACAAACGGCCGCTGACCACTAGCAGGACTGCACAAACGGGGCTCCAGGCTGAGCAGCGTCTGTTACAGCTGCCAGGCTGCTAGCTTACTTCAGATGATGATAATATTGCAATAATCATGATAGCAGCTCACTATTACCACATGCTTACTTTGTGCTCAACGCTTTACACTCTTGAATTTATTTAAAGCTCATGGAGGGCTTCCCAGGTGGTGCTGGTGGTAAAGAACCCACCCACCTGCCAATGCAGGAGACATAAAGAAACAAATTCGATCCCTGAGTTGGGAAGACCTCCTGGAGTAGGAAATGGCAACCCGCTTCAGTTTTCTTGCCTTGCAAGTCTCATGGACAGAGGAGCCTGGCAGGCTACAGTCCATAGGATCACAAAGAGTGAGACACGACTTAGCAACTGAGCATGCACACATATACATATGCCTTCTGAGATGGTCCACACCCTGTCTGTGAAGTGTGTCTCTCTAAATAAGTCTACTTCTTACCTATCAGAAAAGAAAGAAATGTCTCTAAATGTTGCCAAATGTCCCTCCAGGATGAGGGTAAGGGCAAAATCACCCATGCCTGAGAACCACTGAGCTAAACCCAGCCACTTAGGACCTCTGAATGGGACTTCAGGTAAACCTTGAGACTTAGTGCAGTTTCCACATCAAATGAATCTCACCAAAATTTTTAGTTAGCAAAAGTTGAAAGAACATTGAATGCCAATAATTTTTTTAAGGAAGTTGTCATCCCCTTTGTCTACAGTCTAGAAACTGACAAGCTCCCCAAGATTCTGACGCTTGTTGTGAAAGCCCACCCGGTTGGCCCAGATGGTAGCAACCTACTCATATATTCTGTTTGGAATCCCTGGGCTGGCAGGTGGCCCAGGCATCCAGCCAGGGGATGTAGCAGCCTAGGTCTTACGCAGGCCACCCACAGAACACAAGAACCACGGCATGGCTGGAACCCATGCTTAAGGTTTGCAGTCACACACGTGGCTTTCAGATAGATGAGGCAACAAGAGGATGTTGATTACCACTGGGGCTTTTTCCAGAAAGAGGCTTGTAGGTACATATCCTGAGGGCGGGCCACGAACATGCCCTGTTTATGGTCTGTGGTACTGGTCCGTCGGGGCCAGGGTTTAGTCTAAGACCCCACAGGGCTCTCTCATCCTGGGGCGGTTATGTTGTAGTTACTACTCATACTTTAATCAGAGAGGTCACTGATGCAGCTCAGAAAAAAATGTCAGGAGGAGAGACTGCATGGAGGGCTTTCCCCTTTAACTGTCCCACCACATGACGGGTGAGGTCATCTTCTGGATCATCGATGGATATAACTTCCTCCAAGAAGATGCAGATTGAGTTAAGTCTCACAGCCCTGTCCTTCCAATTGTCTGTGCTTTCCTGATAAGCAGTCTTAACAGTTTCAATTGGGCTTCACTGCTGGTTCAGTAATACAGAATCCACCTGCCATGCAGGAGACCTGGATTCAGTCCCTGAGTTGGGAAGATCCCCGGAAGAAGGAAATGGCAGCCCACTTCAGTATTCTTGTCTGGGAAATCCCATGGACAGAGGAGACGGGCGGGCTACAGTCCACGGGGTTGCAAAGAGTCGGACATGACTGAGCGACTAAACAAACAACAATTCCAATTGCCTGGTTACTCATCTGTCTTTCTCAATGAATTGGGCCTTTGCAACCCATTGTATCCCAAGCCATTGCTCAGTGTTGGGTATATAGCATTCACTATGAAAACTGTTTATCAAATGAATGTATATGGGCTTCAGCATCAGAAGGATCTCGGTTCAAACCCTGGCTCTGGTTTTATAAGCTAAATGAGTTGGGCATATTTCCTGACATCTTTGAGCCCCAGTCTCTTCATCTGAAAAACGTGGACAGTGGACTCATCTCATAGAGTCAGAGTGAAGAAGAAATTAAAGAATGTCTAAAAAGTACCCCGAAGGATGCCTAGCACCTGGTCAGTACTCCAAAAATGCCAAGCCCTTTCCTGCTTTCTTAGCTAGCTTATGCTGTTTCTAAAGCAAACCAGTCCTTCCCTGGTGGCCCAGTGGTTACGACTCCACATGTCCAGTGCAGGGAGCATGGGCTTGATCCCTGATTGAGGAGCTGAGATCCCCCATGCCACGCAGCAGGGCCATAAATAAGTAGGCACACCCTATAGCAGTGTTAACTATTTAGTCGTCATGTTGCACTTTACATCCCTATAAAAATAAATAAATGAATAAAGCAATCCAGTTCATTGATTTTTTTTTTTCTATTGCACGCAGTTAGGAAGAGCACTTCCCTTCCCAGAAGTTTAAGAATTTTTGTTCTAAAATCTTGTCTTGTTCATGAATACAGCCACCCCCAGACACAAGTTGGGGAAGCTAGTCTTCCTCTAATCCTCCTGCTCCACCCCCTCCCCTGGCTCTGGCTGTCACCAAGGAAGACTGATGAGAGGATGGGTATTAGCTTCATTATAAGTTGGTGATATCCAGGAAGCCTTCAACAGGAATAGAAGTGAAAGTGTATAGAGCATTCTTGTTTCTTCCTCCTTTGCTCCTCTTTCCTTTCCTTCATGCTTGCCTTCAGCAGATACTGTTTTTTATTTATTTGGTTGTGCGGGATCTTAGTTTTGGCAGGTGGGATCTAGTTCCCTGACCAGGGATTGAACCTGGACCCCCTGCATTGGGAATGCAGACTCTTAGCCACTGGACCACCAGGGAAGTCCCAGCAGATACTTATGGAGACCTGCTTTATTCCAGGCACTGTACTCAGTGAGGCCTGGAACAGATGTTTTAATAGATAAGGTCCCTGCCCTTGAGTTACTCACATCTGGGGATGAGTCATCTTAGCATGACGGGCACCATCCTGAGAGACAATGCAAGTGCCACAGGCCAGCTGAGGAGAGAGCATGGAGTCAGTCGTTCAAGGTCACATTCGATCAGGTCTCGGAGTACGAGTAGAATCCTGCAGGCACAGTGCAGGGGGAGGACACACATGCCAGAGAGAACACGGGTCCAGCGGCACCAAGCCAGTCAACCCTGAATACATGAGGACAGCCCCCATGGTCTGCCCCAGCCTCAACTTCAGCAGAGGTGCCTGTGTCCATCCATCCTCTGTCCCCCTGGCCCAGCTTGTGCTCAACCTTTCGGCCTCCAGGATGGGGTGGGTATCTGACCAGTGGGGCTCCCGTCACTGCTCCAGCTGGGGCTGCTGCACATTTCATCTTCTTTTTTTAAACATTTTATTTATTTATTTATTTATTTTTGCTATGCTGTCTTTGTTGCCACATGTGGGTTTTCTCTAGTTGGAGCTAGCAAGGGCTACTCTTTAGTTGCAGTGCACAGGCTTCTTATCGCAGTGGCTTCTCTTGTTTTGGAGCAGTCTCTAATGTGCATGGGCTTCAGTGGTTGTGGCCCTGTAGCATATGGGATCTTCCCAGACCAGAGATCAAACCCAGTTCCCCTGCACTGGCAGGCAGATTCTTAACCACTGGACACCCAGGAAAGTCCTACGCATTTAATCTTGCCACAGTTTTGAACCAGGACTGTTCTAGATTGTTCTATTCACAAATCATGGCAACCCACTCCACTGTTCTTACCTGGGAAATCCCATGGACAGAGGAGCCTGGTAGGCTACAGTTCATGGGGTCGCTAGAGTCGGATACGACTTAGCAACTAAACCATCACTATTCCCAAATCGGGCCAGGGGATATGATTCTATGGAAAAGTTGTCCCTGGCCCATGGAATATAATGAGAGAGTGTTCGGGAAAGGCATTTCAGCAAAGCCAGATGCATTTGTTTAAACAACAGAATCCTATGTGCACAGTAGATTTAACTCCTTCTTGTGTACAGTAGGGAATTGTATTCTTACCTGAGTTTCTGGGCCCCTTTACCAACTGTATTCACACAGACCTTGAAAGGCGCCGTGGTGAACCATTCAAGGGAGAATATGTTCTATTAAAGCCCCTCATGTCTCAGGCAGTAGGTGAGATGTGAGAGAGAAAGGGATTGACTCTTCCCTCTGAACACCATCTAACACTCCACCTGAGATGAACCCAGTGCCCAATCATCAGGCAGGGAGTGGGGTCGCCCATGGTCAGTACGACTTGAAGAACAAGTGGGGCCAAGGTGGGATCTGTTCTGCTATCCAGATGGGCTGCACAGTGAGCCCATCGCCTCCAAAATGTCATTGAATGGTTTGGAACAAGGAAAAGTGCCTGCAGTTTTTAATATGCCTTAGGATAAACCAACCCTGGTAGACTTAAAAAATACTCACAACCTGAAAGTTGGGAGTTATATTTTATTTGATGGGAATGGGCTTCCCTGGTGGTTCAATGATAAAGAATCCTGGCAATGCAGGAGACCAGGGTTGGATCCCTGGGTTGAGAAGATCCCCTAGAGTAGGAAATGGCAACGCACTCCAGTATACTTGCCTGGAAAATTCCATGGACAGGGGAGCCTTGCAGGCTACAGTCCATGGGGTCGCAAAGAGTCAGACATGACTGAGCATGCAGAGGATTTAGGACTTCAAGCCTGTGAGGTAGCATCTCAAGTAACCGTTAGAGAACTGATCAGAGGAGGCGAGGGGAGAAGCCAGGTCATATAGAAGTTTTGCAACAGAGGACAGGTAGTCTGAACATCAAAAGATTATTGTTAAAGACCAGATAACCAGGTTAAGGAATTTAGCACTTTTCCATGTATGGGAAGATACAAGAGTCTGGGCTCTCTGAAATCACTCCTTTGATGTACACCTCACCTATCTGGGGCCAGTGTCCTATGTTCTCACACCCTGAGTTTCCTCAAGGTTCCCAGCAGGGAGTGGCTGCAGACTGATGGCTGCTAGAGGGCAGGTATTCTTTTCTTCCTCAGTTCCCTCAGGGCTCACCAGCTCACAATTGTGGTGGCTGCAATTGCTGATGACTGTGACATCCTTGTTTACTGTTATGGCAGGAAATATTCCATTTCTCACCCCCTCAGGTTAATCTTTAAAATATTTTAGGCAAAATTCTGCTCTTTTTTCTAAGTTTTGTTTTTCCACCAGATATTTTTTGTAAATTATGGACAGAAGCAAGGTCGCTCTTGTTCACAAATTAATTTGGCAATTCCCATAAAGAGACCTATCCCCTTGTCTAAGCTGTACCCAAAGGCCTTTCCTCTCAAACTAGCAGTGCTGAGAAACACTGCTAAAGAGACGGGCAGAAAGAGCCATAGCTCTTGGCCCCCGTGGAAGGACCCTCATGGAATGCCATGTGTTGCTTCAGCTGAGTTACCCAGAAGGCAGTGAGGCTGGTGGAAGTCAAGTTTTGCTGGGTGAGGCTCTTCTACTGGCAGGACAGGGTTCCTTTAAAGAGCAGTCTGTGAGCTGGGGCACTTGCAGTGGCAGAGACTGCATATTCATTCTCCTGCACATCTAGGAGATGGCTTCTCTCAGCCACAGACCTGCCTCCAGCAGTGATCATGAAGGACTGAGGTTTGTAAGACTTTAAGCACCCTGGCAGGTGCGCTTGGGGAGAACCACCCTCACTGCCCGATACCCCACCGTCTGGCAGAGAGCTATTTCTGTTTCACCCACCCAGCTCTCAGGTGCCAAACCAGCTTCTTATCTGTCAGCCAGCATGAGGCAGAGGGGGACAGTGAGCACTGTCAGCCCACTCTGGATGGAGTGCCGGGGTCCTCTGGGCTGCAGTGGTTCTTGGGTCTCCCGAAGTCATGAGCTGGCTTTTAAAGGAAGTGTCCTCTACGTTGGATCTTTCAGCTGAGAGCGGACAAAGTAGCGGGCAGTTCCAAGGGCGGCCCTCGGAAGTTTGGTCGCAGTGGCAAAGCCAGCACCACGGACAGCAGAGCGGTGAGCCGCACTCCCACCAGCAGCCCGGTCAGACTGAAGTGTTCCAGGTAAATCAGCGAGCACCGCCTTCTCGTAGGTACCCGCGCCTTCTCTCTGCTTCCTTTCCCCCTCGGTCTCTGCCTCCCTGCTGTAGCACCGACTGCTGATAGATTGTGAGTTCTGGCCCCTCCCAGGAAGGTCGTAGCCCCGACTCCAGGGGCTCCAGGAGGAGAAAGAGGCAAGGCTCCCTTCTCGAGCCCCACGCACGTATTGCTGATTGAAGCTGCCTGGGCGCCTTGCAACTCCTCCGTTGTTTGATCCAGCTGTCCTCAACCCTTTTGGCACCAGGAACCAGTTTTGTGGAAGACAGTTTTTCCACAGATAGTGAGAGGGGATGGTTTTGGGATGATTTAAGTGCATTACATCTATTGTGCATTTTATTTCTATTGTTATTACATCAGCTCCACCTCAGATCATCAGGCTTTAGATCCCAGAGATTGGGGACCCCCGGTTTGAGCCATACCCCAAGTGTGCAACAGATATTGCTGGCATACCACTGTGCAGGACTCGACCCCCTTGGGTGTCAGAGCCCCACTTTCAGCCAGGAAAGTTCTCACTGGGAAGAGTCTCCAAATGGGGGTGTGAGCCTCCTGGTGTCCCATCCACCCCACCAGGTCTTCATGTAGGAGAAACACCGGATAACTAGAGCCCCAAGTGCCTTCTGTCACATTCCAGAGCCTGCCCCGCAAGGCACGGCTGGAGCAGGGACACCCGGGACCCACAGGACTATAAAGCCCTCATGGGAGAGCTCTCCATTTACCCCGCCATCATCCACACTGGGTCTTCCCTAGCGGCTCAGTGGGAAAGAACTCGCCTGCCAGTGCAAGAGACGTGAGTTTGATCCCTGGGTCGGGAAAATCTCTTGGAGGAGGAAATGGCAACCCACTCCAGTGTTCTTGCCTGGGAAATGCTGTGGACAGAGGGGCCTGGCGGGCCACAGTCCATGGGGTCACAAAGAGTCGGCCATGACTTAGTGGCTAAACAGCAGCAACACCTCAGGCTCCTTTCCCCCCAGTTAAAGCAGCACCTTCACAGGCAAAGTTCTAGAACCCAGGTCCCCAAAGAGACAGGATCCTTTTATACTTGCAGAGAGGTGCCTCACCCAGGCCCTCACCTGACCACCCCTGACCCATGATGACTGTCCCCCCTTCCTCCACCCATCATGCTGAGCCCTGGCCCACCCTTGTGCCTCACAGTCACCATGTAAGGCAGATTTCCCTAACCTGGCTCTTCATGGTCACGATGCTAAAAGGAATTTTTGGTCAAATACATTTGTGAGACATGATCAAACAGTTATTCAGTTTCTTTTTTAAAAAATTATAATTGCTTTACAGTGTTGTGTTAATTTCTGCTGTACAGTGAAGTGAATCCGCCATATGTTTACGTGTATCTCCTTCCTCTTGAGCCTCCCTCCCACCCTGCCATCCCACCCCTCTAGGTCATCACAGAGCACTGAGCTGAGCTTCCTGTGCTATGTGGCAGCTTCCCACTAGCTCTCTGTTTTACACATGGTGGGATATATCGGTCAATGCTACTGTCTCAGTTTGTCCCACCTTCTCCTTCCCCTGCTCTGTCCACACGTCTCTTCTCTACATCTGCATCTCTATTCCTGCCCTGCAGATAGGTTCATCTGTGTGACTACAAGACTTAACAGAGCCTTTATATACTAATGATGACTGAGGGTTTTCAGGTGAGCAAAGTACACCTCGTTTCCCAAACTCATTTGTCCTCAGCATTCTTTTCTCCCAGAGTGTCTCATGGGCCGAGAATTGGACACAGCACGCTTTGGGGAAATTGCCATAAAGGATTGAAATATAGCTCTGCCCATTTTCTGGATGGGTAGTCTGAGTCCCAGAGAACTTGAAGGACTTGTGAAAGGTGAAGTCTAACCCCACAGGGATTTGGCCTTGTCCTCGATGTACACGGTGAAGACAGACCACTCAGTTCTCCTTACACATAGCCCTCCTGCCCTTCCCTGCATTGCAGTTTTCTTCTATCTTGATGGTTGGTTGTGTGTATCACTTGCTTGGTACCAAACTGGTACCAGTGGGCCTCTTGTTCACCCTGTGTCCTGGCTAGGCTTTAAGTAGACAGAGCTTCCTGCTGCAATGACATCTCCCAGGACAGCAAAGCTACCCAGGGTCTTAGACATTGGAGGAACCCAGCAGAGCATCTGTCAGATGGTGGGGGCAGTAGGGAGGGTATGTGTTCCCAGGCTGCCCTGTTGGAGAGACGCCGTGAGGGTGGCGGGCAGGCTGGGCTCCTGGGACATGCCACTGCCCGGGAGAATGAGGGATGAGCCGACTCCCCTGCGCTCTTTTCCTCTCTCCCACAGGACATGCTGCCCATGCCCGGAGATCCAACCCAGGGGACCGGCAACTATAACATTGAAGATTTTGCCGACCTGGGCATGTTCCCGCCATTTTCGGAGTAGCTGCGGGCAAAGCCAGGCTTCACAGAGCAGTGTCCCCCTTGCTGTGACGTCGACGCCCTCGTGAACGGGACCCCCTTGGCCTGCTTGCCCTGTGGCAGGACCCCCCGCGGCAGAAGACACCTCGTTTCCCCCCGCCCCCGCCGTGTTCCCCCCTGCCACCGTCTCATTGCTCAGCTTCTAACCCTCAGCAGTGGCTGCTCTGCCACCAAACAGGAGCCTGGTAGACGTCAGGGGTGGGTTTATTTATTGTATTTTACTTGTGTGTGCTTGGGAGGCCAACCCATTGGGTTCCTAAAATCTGGTTGTGAATAATCTCCTGTCGGACAATTCATGTCTATGAAAAGTTCACTTACAGCCCAGAGAGCCCAAGCGGCATGCCCAGGCCTGCCCTGGAAGCTGGGACCTTGTTCCTCCTGGCTTTTAACTTCCGTCCGCATGGGGCTCAGGGCGGAGTGGGGAGAGAGGACACAGCCTGTGTTCTTAGAGTTGGGGGTGAGCAGCCGGGGACCTGCAGGGGGATGCCAGCTCCCCCGTCTCCCAGCCCAGCCGCGTCCGTCCATGTTGCCATGAGACGTGTCCTTTGTGCCGCGTGACGTGAATCCCTGTCCTGATGGGTGTGTTGTGCCCGTGTCTGTCGTGTGTGGCAAGAGCGAGTGTCTAGACCCCAGGGTGTGTGGCGGAGGTGGAGCCCCGGCCAAGCTGAGGAGGACGAGGGAGCCAGGCCTGGGGCCTGGGTGCCAGGCCAACAGGCTGAACTGAGCAGGTGGGCACTTGACGGCGGCCCCGGGAGTCCCGGCCCAGAGCTGCTCGCTCTACTAGGTCAGTTCTTCAGTCCAGGTGGGGACAGCGGCATCTTGAGAGGGCAGAAGGTGGGTCTTTGAGGGAGAGGACTTGGGCTCCAGTTCTGGTTTTGCCACACACCCCCGATCCCAGGGCCTTGAATCCCTCAGGTTGTCTCAAGACAGAGTGAGAGCTGACTTCTAGAAGCTTGCCTGGCTACCTTCTGAGCCCCTGGCCCCTGGCTTGCTGTTTCTCTCCAATCTGAGATGATTCCCCATTTTTACTTGCCATCACTCCATCCCATGCCCTTTACAGTAAGGAAAGAAACTCCTGTGTCATTTTCCCCATGGTCCCCCTCCTGTCCTGCCTCCCCATCCCATCAGCTCACCGACACCCATAGGGAGACACACTACCTACCTGTGGCCACCTCTCGGCAGGCAGAGGAGCCCATGCCCCCTGCAGGCACCTGTCTCAGAACAATCCTTGTACCCCTGCTCCTGGGGTTCTGAGGGGCCCGGTGGAGTGGAGTCACTCCTAGGCTGCCTGAACCGGGAGTGAGCCCCACCTGCAGGAAGGAGCCACTCGGAGAGTGTTTGCTCTCACCCTCTGCATCTCAACCCCAGCACTGGCCAGCGTCCAGAGCGGATGGGTGTCCATTCTGGCCTGGGAAGCTCCAGCTCTAAGTCCAGCATTGTTCACAAGCTTATCCTTGGCTGGTAGCCAGCTTTATGTGATCCCAGGTCATGGGCTCTGAATTAAAACTGACCTGACAGTTTTTAGAGTGGCTTTTAATCCTCGTGTATATAGTGGCGATTGGATTTGGGGTTTAGACGCACAGGATATCGTTTTTAACCTTTAAAAGCCTTTTGGCTCCTGGGGAAATGGCAGGTGGCTTGAACGTCCCCCAACCCTGACAGAACCAAGACCCAGAAGGGGCCTCCCCTGGGTGTGCCCCACCCCTGGGTCACCTCTGCCCCCCCTGCAGCCTTGAACTTGTCCCAGACAGTAGACTTAATTATTTCCCAAAAAGAGGCACCAAAATAGCTTTTGGATCAAAGAATGGGTTCTCAGTGAAATGAAAACAGACTTCCTGTGACTTTGAGTCTGTAAGTCTGAAAGTTTGAGGGGGGAGGTATGTTTGTCTCTTCTGGTTTTGGAGGGAATTTGGGGGTTTTCTGAGGTACACACACTTATCAGCATGCTGACTGGGAGCCTGCCATCCACCTGGACTGTACTGGGTGCTGAGGGGATGCAGAAGGACAGAGGAGAACAATCTTGCCCCCGGGACCTTTTATCTACTTACACAACGTCTAGGATGAGAACCTCTCAGTTCTTAGTCCTAGTAGGCAAGGATTTGTGGGCAAACGAAAGCCAGACGTAACGAGAGAGCATCATAACTAAACAGCCCCAACCTGACTTCCCTGGTGGTCCAGTGGTTAAGACTCTGAGCTTCCACTTCTGGGGCCTGGGTTCGATCCCTGGTCGGGGAACTAAGATCCTACACACAGCACAGTGTGGCCAAAAAAACTAAATAAATAAGCCCACCTCCCCTTCCAGCTTTGTCCCAGGAGCCCTGGAGGGGCATCTGACTGCAGTGTGACTGGCAGTTTGAGTTTCCTGTTTTCTTTATTCCCCATTCCACGCTTTGATTGTGAGTGTTAGAAGCCATGATGTGGCCTCTCAGAAAACAGGAGCACCCAGAGGACCACACGTCTGAGGGATTCTTCCCCCACCCCCACCCCACCCCCACCACACACACACACACACACACACACAAGGAATTTTGAGACAAATGAGCATTAAAGTCCTAGAAAGCCTAGTAATGTCAGTTTGCAGAAGCCCCTCCCTCTGGTCCTGCCCAGCCAGGAGGCCAGAATGCCCACGGACCCTGCATCGGTGTGGCCTTCAGTTCAACTTCCTTTCCTACTGGAGATGGACGAAAAGCTGGATTGGGAAGGGGAACAACACTAGGACTTTGGCTCTGGGACTCTTCCTCACTCACACCTCATCTTGCATCTCCCAGGCCTTCCAGTGGCTTCCTTATGCTGAGCAAGCACAAGGCTCTCCCCCAAATAGAGCCTTGTGGTGGCTGCCTGAACCATTGGTGAGCACACAGACACAGCCACGCTGAGGCTTGGCCAAGGCTGGGTTAGTGACTGTGATGGTGGCTACAGGAGTTCTACTGGCTTCATCTTTAGTTTTGGTTTCAGGGAGCAACAGAGCCATCACAGACACCCACATTCTTCTCTGCATCCCCCAGTTGGTCAAATTCACCCTTTTGTTGTTTCGTGAATACCTGTTGCAGTGAGAATACTGTTAGTTGGTGGGACTGACGTTGAAGAGCATGACTGTCCTGAGTCCGTAAGAGACTCTGTCCCCCAGACTAGCCACCCTTGACACTGTCAGTGCCATGACCAGGCTCAGTCTAGAGATGAGTCAGGCCCCAGGGAAATGACCGTTCCCTCCCCTCTATATCAGCACCTGGTCTAGCAGATGAGCCCTGAATCTCTACCCTGCCCCTGATGCACCTGCTCCCTAACATTTATGACATAAGCAGGACCATGCTGGTCACTTAACAGCTGTAGCAAGTCATGAGTCAGGGAGGAAATGCTCCTTCTCTTACTGGGAAGTACGGGTTTGATCATTAAGTCGCTGTGTCCTGACTTGCCAGGGACAACCCAACTTGTCCAGCCAGCTGGATCTCCTGGCCAGATCCTCATCTTGGGTACAAAGGGATCTGACTGTCCTCCTTTTCCTCTCTGCCTTGGGGCAGAGCAGCTTGAGAGGCATCATGCTGGAATACCCGCACCTCTTCATGCATAGGTAGGTGTGCCTGGGTCTTGGGGCCAGAGACCATGGAGCGGTGACCATGAAAGTGGAAAAAGGCAGGTTTTATGGGAACAAGGCAGTCTGCTTCCGGTTAACAATCTCATTTTCCTGCAAAAACAAGAGAGTTCCCAGATGAGCTTCAGAGGACAGTTTCAGCACTTAATCGTTTCTCTTTTAACCTTTCTTCTTATGAATGTGAACCGTGCTGTGGATAAATCATCATTTGTATTGCTCGAATGTTCTCTATGACTAACAGTTATTAAGTCAGTTGTGTATATGTGTAACTAATGGAACTGCCTTTTAAAATTTCATTACAATAAAAATGACTTTGCTCTGAACACTGAATAGCCCAGGCCAGCTTTGTCACTAAACAATTCATAGAACCTGCTCTTGAAGTTGGGTGGATGCTCTCATATTACTCTTCCGAAGGGCTGTGTATTGTTGTCCCCAGGAAAGGGTGTAGAAAGCATATATGCTTAAGAGTGACTCTGTCAGGGGATCAGGCTACATAAAATTTTTAAAGAAGCTAATAATTCTCAGCTTTGTGTGTTAGGCAAGGCTCTCTCAGTTAGGAAGGCTGTTTGCAAATGCTATTTTTGTGACCATTATTAACTTCTGCAATGTGGATATTACTCCTGGTTTATAGATTCAGAAACTGGGACTCAGAGAAATTAAGTGACTTATCTAAGAACACAAAGGTTGATCTTAGGTCTCATTACAAAACCTTGTATCTGTTGTACTCTTCAAACACTCTCTTTCTTGAATTCTCCCAGGGACTTCCCTGAAGTCCAGTGGTGATCCTATGTTTAAGACTTCACCTTACAATCCTAGGGGTGCAGGTTCCATCCCTGGTTGGGGAACTAAGGTCCCACATGCCTTGTAGCAAAAAAATCAAAACATAAAATAGCAAGTATTGTAACAAATTCAATAAAAACTTTTTAAAATGGCCTACATTTTTCTTTTAAAAAAAGATGTGGGATTGGCATAGAGAAAACTAGATCAGTAGAACACCGTAAAGAATCTGAAAGTATGCACATGTTCAGAAAGGAGAATATTTGGTATGTGCGCCGCTGAAGCAAGCCAAAGCTGTTATTTACAAGAGTCAGCATTACAAATCACGGGGCCAGACAGACTTCCAATAAATGGTGCCAGGGAAAAGCACATGGGAAAAGAAGTAACTGTACCCTTATCTTACACAATGTACAAAAGATAAATTCCCCACAGATGAAAACATCTGAGTGTTGAAAAGCAATATATGTAAAATCTTTAGAAAAAAATCTGGGAAAATATATTGATGAAATCATTTAGGGAAGGAGATTTTAAACCAGGCACAAAGACCACAAACCATACAGAAATTTTTAAAAAGTTTTTTTTGAGGTCACTCAAAAATA